GGTGTTCAGCTGTGTTCTTAGTGACATTGTTAAAGCCCGTTGAGGTACGTTTTTTCCTTGGCCTCAAAGCCTCAAGGAATGCACGGACGAAGGGAGAGAAACAGAAATTCAAATAACAACGAGCTGGCTAAAAATTAAATGTGCAAGACAACACAGTGTGAAACAACTCAAGCTCGTGTTGTTGAATAGCTTTGTTATTTCTGCATAATAAAATCACCAGTGTATTTTGAACTAAAGAGGGTAATGTAAATGGTATTTTCTTGTTATTTAATCATAGTGTGCGTAATTATGGCAAACAATGGAAACATGCTGGGTGTTGAAACGACATGGATGCGTACAAAGGCGTGCGTGATGATTTGACAACTTCACGAAATCTGTTTTTGGGCTAGGATTTTAAACTGAAAATTGGGGATAAGGTTTCACTTCAATACGCATCAAAGCCACCAGCATTGTGATTTATTGTAATGCTAACCGGGCCATTTTGTGAGAGAGAGCGAAAATAGAAAGAATAAAAAATGTTTTTTCGGGAAAAAACTAAGAATCTCGAACGGCATTAAAGTAATTGCTATACGCTTAGTGGCATTTAATTTGAGGCTGGCGGTTGTTATAATAGTTATTAAAATGACCGGGGTCAAGGGTTCACTGTATAAAATCCTTCTCAGGCCCCACTGCCCAGTAACTGGGACCATATGGCTGCACCTATTTACATGTCAGGTAGAATTTGCCTGCGGGGCTTCTCACTTGGGCTTCGGGGTCAGCCGAGGCAGTTCCAGCCCACGGCGGCCCCCATTCCACCACCACCACCCCAAACTCCTCCAACTCCCCACGCGTGCTCACGCCCGCTCTTCCTATTGCTTATAAACTTTATAAGTCGCTCAAATGTCTTTATCTTTATGCTGTGTCCTAGGATGGAAGCTGTAATATTTACAAAAAAATTGAGCAGTGTATAATTGTACCTTGTGTAAATTTTATGGCGGCGAATCTTGCACAAAACGAAGTCATCAAACACTTCACTGCATTTCACTGTAGCACTGTATATAAGTGACCTTCAATTTGTTCAAATTCACTGCTCTGATACTTTATATTCTCGTCTGCTTTTGGTCGCTGGGGTTGAAATAAATTGGAATTTGATGCAAATATCTGAAAAATCACCGATAAATGTCTATTTTACCATAATGTAGAAGCATAAATTAGACTTACCTTTTGTCTCAAGTGCTGAAGAAATAAATAAAGACACCGAATCCACTTTGTTGATTCACTTTCAATTAAGAAACGTCAAACTTAAAGCGAATTTGCGAAAAAAATATATTTCCGCTCAACCTTCTTGTGCGTGAGTGTAAAAATCCACCCGCTCATGAATATTAATGTCGTGGGGTGCGGCATGTGGAGTGACGTCACGCACGTTACACACAAACAGACATTCTTGGCTCATTAGCGTAGTAATTCTGCCGTATATAAAATAATTTTGACTTGGTCTCCTCTGTAATTTAAAAAGGGCTTCTGCCTTCAACACAAGCATAATTTACAAATTTACAAATCCTTAGGTTTTACTACAAGGTATGCACAAAGAGTCTGCCATAGTCCATTGCACTGACAAAAGACGTGTGGAGAGCACAATGTTAGTCAATTGTTTACACCGCAGCAGCAGCAGCAACGGCTTCACCGCAGTGCCCCGTCTAGGTGCCCAGCGATGCTATGGTAGTTGGAAACAGGAGGCCTGATTCAGATTTCCAGCCGGAGAGGGCCTTGGTGAGGCTGCTGAGTTTCACAGCGGAGTGTGGACTTCGTGCACAGGGATACCTGCTGCACGTGTGAACGCGATGGCAGGGAGTGGGACAAAGAGTTCACGGGCGTCGGAGGCGACGGCGGCGGCGGCGGCATTGAAACAGATATTGCTGAAGGCTTGACAGCTGCAGGGCCCGACGTGAGGTAGGGGGTCGCTGTGTCATGGTGTCGTCGTGCTCTCGTCACCATGCTAGAAGCGCACTGACCAACGTTGGCCATTATGTGGAGACATTACAATCTCGTGACCTGATGATGCCTTGTCATGTACGAGTCGACTGTGTACAAAGACACTCGTACATGCTCTTGATCCATCCCACTTTTGCAGCCCTTAAACAATCCACTGCTGGATCAAGGCCTCCCCGTGTCTTGTCGGTCACGTGGGCTGTCTGACCATTCTTCACCACGCTTGTCAGTGCGGGTTCAGTGAAGAGGGGACCCCTGGGATAGGCTCATTGTTGTACTGTAGTTATGTGCCCCCAATTATGCTCCCCACTTGAACGGTGTGATGTATGGTTAAACAGCCCCTATAAGCCACATGTAGCAGACCCTCATCTGACGGTAGAGTGACAGAATGGCTGTGCATGCATATGAACATTTAATATTAACTTGTGCATGAGTTTAAAAACCGAGGCATAATATTAAGTGTCGCGTGGCCCTACAGCATACGCTGTTGACCACGTCACAGCCTTGACCGAGGGAAACCCCTCTGTAATGCCCCAACTGGTACACACATTTTAGTAACTGGGGAAATATCTCCGATTCAGGCTCTCTGGATATGGGGCTGCCTCAGTTGTGAGTGAGAGGTTTTGGGGAGAAAGTTCACTTGTACCTCATCATTGAACATTGTTGACATTTTTTTACTTATCAAATCATTGCCAGTACTCTATTTCCGTGGACATTTTGCCAATGAAGTTTGAAAGCCATGCCCATGTCCACTCGCTATTTTAAGGCCCGTTTGTCACAGCCTCGCGCAGGATTGGCTCTGGCTCCAGTGAGCCGGCTGAGAGCCGTGCTTGACTTGAGCTGGCTCTAAGCACAGACCGGGCCACGTTCAGGATTCCCATGAGGCTGAGCCAGGACACGGCTGAGCCACTCGTGCGTCTTTGTAAGAAACCGAGCGACCCAAGCCTGAGCTGAGCCCTGAGTGTGAGGCCAAGCCAGAGCAGAGCCGCTGCTTAGGGTACAGCCCTAAGTAATGACATTTTTGTAGATAATATTTGGCACTTTTGTAAAGAAGTGAGCATCAAAACTATATCGAGTAACCAGTATTATCAATGAGCCACTATTATGTTTTTTCTAAACCATTTTTTCCCAGATGTATCCAAGCATTTTTTAAAATAAATAATTTGGTGAGTTTAGCAGCATTTTCGTTTCAGGCGCAAGCTGTTTTTTTACCTCATTCTCGAGGTGTTATCGAGGAATAATAGAGTAATACAATACGTGAGAGCTACACCAGAGCTGGTGGAGTGGGCGTGCCTTGGTGTTGAGGCTCGGTCCATTTAAAGGACGAAGTTAATTATTAAGCTCGTTGTGTGGCCATCTGTAGGGAGGTGATCAAACGCGACCGTGAACACAGCAATAATTCGCGTGATTGTGGAGAATATATATCCGTGTCTCAACGTCAGTATACTTTACACAACTTATTCCCTCCAACAGCCTTCTGGGAGTGCATCATTCCAGCACGGCTGATTGAATTCAAGCAACCTTTGAACCAGTTTCGACATAGTGTCTCATGAGCAAGACCCAAATCTTAAAGAGAGGGATCCGTGCCTATAACATCTGGAAGTTCACCAACACTGATTCAAGCAAGCCTGGCACTGCTGATGAGGTGCTGTATGTCGAAACCAGTACAGAGTTTGCTTGTATTGAGTCAGCGTGCACCTAGGCGGTAATCCCAAAGTGGCTGGCCTCGTCATGTTTAAATTAATTTAGGCATAAGACCTTAAGAGTCGTCACTATCAGTCGCCGTCGTCAGCATTTCAAATGTTAAAAAGGGAGCCACATGTCTAAAAAGTGTATTAGTTGCAGGATTAAATCCACCAAGCTTCTGAAGCTAATATTTAAAGTGGTATTGTGACCTCTACTGGCACAATCGGCAATTGCAATAGTGGTTTTATTTATTTGTAGTTGTTGACGCACGAGTTGGCCACCGCTGCCACGCGTCGTGACTTTGCGTGGCGTAATGATATTGCACACAGCTGCCAGGGGTGCACCGTGCCAGCCGCAGTGCCTGTGCTTGTTTGTTGACGGTCAAGTTGACCGGTTACACGCCGTCGTGGTTTGCAGTTGACTGCACATTTCCACACGCGCACACGTACGCATTCTCGCTCGCGCCCACGCGCAGTCAGAACGTTCACGAGCACACACGCGCGTGAACGGGGATACAGCCGCGCCGTTCACCACCCAGTAATCTTGGAGCTCACTTGGGGGGGGGTCTGCCAGGCGGGACCCCAAGGAGAGGTTGCCGCTGGAGGGTGACCGCTGCTGCGCTGCGCCTGGCGAGCGCTCCACACCTGAGGCCCGATCGGCTCACGAGGCCACCTGAAGTGGAGGGTCACCTCAGAGGAGTTCTTGAGCGCACATCTGGACACACCTGCACGCATGGACACACCGGCATTATTTGAAACCTAGACCGCTGAGGAAAGCACCGTTAGGCGAGCGCCTGCCGTGAATGGCATTGCCGCATCGTGGTGCCTGGGCAGGGCGACATCTTTGCAGCAGCTGGCCGACATTCGCTCGCAAAGTGCTAACGCCGACACAATGCGATTCCATACCCTGCAGGCTAATTACAATAATGGGCTCATTCATTATATTCTCATACAGCGATATAAACTCACTCCCAAAAGAAAAAAAACACTCTGATTTATATTCACATGGATGTCAGCTCATTCATGTGAATTCATGTGAATGAGCTGACAGGGTGAGGAAAGGTTTTCTAATACCCGGCCATCGTCTAGACTTTAGAACAAAGCTTCTTGTTTTCCCCACACTCCGTTTCTTCCGTCGCCTGCCTCCCGCTGGATACTGGGTGGGGCCCTCCTTCTTCTTCTTGTTGGGGCTACGGAACGATCCGCTTTCACGCTCTTCCATGACGATAAGTCCGAGGGAGAGGGGCATTGGAAATCAGTGGGGCGCCTAGAAATGATTCTGTCTGCGCGAGTCGCACGCTGCGTGGGAAGCGACACACACCCGCTCGACTGCTGGCGTCATCGCAGGAGGACCTGCACAGGGTCCTGAGCGAGGAGAGCGACCGCCGGTGCCTGGGCCTGCACCTGGAGGCCTGCGTGGTGCTGCTCGACTCCCGCGAGGGGCCCGGCGTGGCGGATTGCGAGCCGGAGGTCTGCGCGGAGAGCGTGCGCTCGCTCCTGGCCCTCGCCGCTCGCGGGGAGGATCGTGCGGCGACCTTCGACCCGGTGCTGGCCGCCCGCGCCCTCCGCATGGCCGCCTGTCTGCTGCCTCGCCTCGTCTCCGACAGGTTACGGCGCACGCGGGTCGCAAGCGTCGACGATGTTCGGCTCCTCCCCCCCCCCCCCCCACCCCCGACAGCTTCGCCAAAACCTCTCGCTTTCAAGGGTGCGGCGATTCAGAATGTGCTGTCTCAAATAAAGGAGCACATGCAAGATGGTCTCGCGTCAAAAATGTTTTTGCATCGAACCTTCAGTTTGGTCAGTCCCTTGAAGAACATCGGAACCAAGGGTTCACTGTACCTCCAACAACCACCATCCAAGGGGAAACTCCTCATTACCAATTTTTGCCGGTTCAATTATACAGTGTAACATTTTTTTTTTGTTCCTGGGCAGTAAGTGTTATTTCCTAATTGCTTATGTCTCAAAAGTACAGAAAATAGCTATTATTCCCCACAAACTTTGCTTTTGTGACCAGGACAGTGATATTTTTTAAATATAACTATTTTCAAAACGGGCGAATTTGTGTCTTTTCTTTTACATAAAGTCAGGAAAAAACAACAACATGAATCAACATTACAATTTCAAAATATCACTGTCCTGGTCACAAAAGCAAAGTTTGTTGGGAATAATAGACATTTTATTTACTTTTTAGGCATAAAACTACCCAGGAACAAAAATTGTTTTACTTTGTGTTATCTGTTGCCTGTCTAATTATCTGTTGCCTGTCCAATTATCTGTTGCCCGTCCAATTATCTGTTGCCCGTCCAATTATCTGTTGCTTGTCCAATTGTCTGTTGCCTGTGTAATTATCTGTTGCTTGTCCAATTGTCTGTTGCCAGTCCAATTATCTGTTGCCAGTCCAATTGTCTGTTGCCAGTCCAATTGTCTGTTGCCAGCCCAATTATCTGTTGCCTGTCCAATTGTCTGTTGCCTGTCCAATTGTCTGTTGCCAGCCCAATTATCTGTTGCCAGCCCAATTATCTGTTGCCTGTCCAATTATCTGTTGCCTGTCCAATTTTCTGTTGCCAGCCCAATTATCTGTTGCCTGTCCAATTTTCTGTTGCCAGTCCAATTTTCTGTTGCCTGTCCAATTTTCTGTTGCCTGTCCAATTTTCTGTTGCCTGTCCAATTATCTGTTGCCTGTCCAATCTTCTGTTGCCTGTCCAATTTTACGTTGCCTGTCCAATTATCTGTTGTCTGTCAAATTATCTGTTGCCTGTCCAATTGTCTGTTGCCTGTCAAATTTTCTGTTGCCAGTCCAATTTTCTGTTGCCTGTCCAATTGTCTGTTGCCTGTCCAATTTTCTGTTGCCTGTCCAATTATCTGTTGCCAGTCCAATTTTCTGTTGCCTGTCCAATTTTCTGTTGCCTGTCCAATTTTCTGTTGCCTGTCCAATTATCTGTTGCCTGTCCAATTTTCTGTTGCCTGTCCAATTTTACGTTGCCTGTCCAATTATCTGTTGTCTGCCCAATTATCTGTTGCCTGTCCAATTTTCTGTTGCCTGTCCAATTTTCTGTTGCCTGTCCAATTTTCTGTTGCCTGTCCAATTCTCTGTTGCCTGTCCAATTTTCTGTTGCCTGTCCAATTGTCTGTTGCCTGTCCAATTTTCTGTTGCCTGTCCAATTATCTGTTGCCAGCCCAATTTTCTGTTGCCTGTCTAATTATCTGTTGCCTGTCCAATTTCCTGTTGCCTGTCCAATTGTCTGTTGCCTGTCCAATTGTCTGTTGCCTGTGCAATTATCTGTTGCCCGTCCAATTATCTGTTGCCTTCGCTTTGTTAAAGCTCGAGCTGTGACATCTCACTTCTTCTCTGCTTCACGACAACTTTTCTCGATCCTCGGCGTTGGTCTTTTCTCTCCGGTTGCATATTTGGTTTCTCCTTCCCGAATCGCCGTCACACAACAGGAGCATCTCAAAATCTTAAAATTAGGAGCAGGCACGCGGCAGCCAAAGTGCGGTGACAGTTGAAAGTATACAGCCCCGCTCCCTCTTTTTGGGTTTCACCTGTTCCACGTGTTGGGACATGTGTATAAATTAACATCACATTGCTTGTGGCTTTATATAGACCACACTATGCATCGAGAGGTACGTATAAATGCATGTTTTCCTGATGCCTGAAATCCAGCAGATATTGCCACACACAGTGAGGGCTCTGTGTTTCCCAGAGAGCATTCTTTGGATGTGGGGCTCACGAGGAGAGCACAAGAAGACTGATTTTTTCAGAGTGTCCACAGAGTGAAATTTGAAGCAGTGCAGGAACAGGCTGGCTAATTAACTCATTAATGAACGCGCGTGCTCAGAATGGCGTCGTGGCCGTTCTGCTGGGCTCCGCTAAAATTATTCAGTTATTTATTTTCTTACATTGTACATTGATGTGCCTGCATTAATTCGGTTTATTTATTTATTTCCCTCCCCGCCCCCCCCCACCCGCCTCACTACAAAATGCCGTGTTGCACGCGTTTCCGTTGGATTAATTTCACCTGGCAGCCGTTTTCACAAGGAGTAACGTGAGCTCATCTCTGCGCGCCGGGCCCCCGCGCTCGCCACGTGTGCGCTACTGCGGGGGCCCAGCTGCCGCTTGCGCGACGCTCGCGCCGCCAGTGCCACCTGAAACAAAGCAAACAACGCCCGAGTGTGAGGTTTCTGCGGCGGACTTAATAGCGCCATTAGCTGCCTTAAAAATCTTTAATGCTATGTTTTTTTGCGATGCGAAATTGATGGATATACTAATAAGACTGGACCAATACTTTTGGTTGAATAACAGTTTACATTTGGAAGTATTGCATGGAGCTATCATTCAATAATTCCCAACAGTTGCCAACAATGTCTCGCTTTTACAGACCCCTTTGCGGTGTTTAACGAATTAAAAAGCTCCAGTTTTGATCGCTCTGTGGGTCGAATTCTTCCGATCCAAAACCTAATTTTGATCGCGCAAGAATACCTTGCGCGAACTCATTTCTTTTTCAGCAACTTGTGGCTTACAGAGTCAAACCTGATCAATGAGCATCGAGAATATTTTTCCTCTCCGAAGTGTTTCTTGGGGTTGTTGGACGTTGACGTCCGACGTTTCCCTCCATGTCAAATGCCGGACATCGCGCCAAGCCTCATGCGGCACGACCTGAGAGACAGCGGAGAGCCGTGTGGCACAACCACTCGGAGATGGAGGGGATTCGCCAGATTATAATACGCAACCTTTTCTCTCTCGGTCTTGAAGCAAAAGTTAGGAGTACAGGAATATGTGTGTGTTTGTGTGTGTAGCTGGTGCATCTACCGGTCAGCCAACCCATGGCACCTGGGTCTGTCCCGAGACCTCCTGTTAACAAGCCATCGACACTTCACGTGGCCTCAAAGTGCACCTCGCCTGGCACATGCGCCGTGGTGATGTCACCGTCACTTAGTGGCGAATGGCGCGTATTGGTATTGGTGTGACCGGATTTGTATAACTTGATCGGCACCGGACAAGAGTTTGGGGTGCATCTGCCACACAAACCAATATTGGTTTGTTTGGTTTTTTGTTCTGGGTGTTTTGCACGTCGCGCCGTGAACAGGGCTGCAGACGAGCGTGCCCTCCCGCTGATCGAGCGGTGGAGTCTGACGCTGGAGACCAACGCCTCCGACTCTTCCCCGGACGTTCTGCGCTTGGCGGCGGCGAGCAGCCTGCGCCTGGCGGGGCGGGTGGCCGTCACGTTCGGCCTGCGCATGCGGGGGAGGGCACTCCCCATCGCAGTCAGGTAACCCACTGCACAAAACCCAAACTAAAAACTATTGATAAACTAAACTAGTTTTATTTTGCCAGGTAAGGCCCACTGAGCTATATGGCTCTATTTCAGAAGCGACCTGGTCACAAATGGTTGCTCAAAGTTGTCGCTTCTCACAATTGTGGAAATTGATAGCAGCCAAATACTCGAAACACATTGATTCTAAATTTGGAGAGAAAAACCAGAGGACTCCGAATATACAGACGTGAGGGTCAGGATCGAACCCACGACCTCCTGCATACCAGGCGAGGGAGTTAACATCTCCTAGCCACCGCGGCACCATAAAACAAAAGCTCCACGCCAAGTCACATGGGAAACCAGACCGACTCTGTTCAAATGTGTCCGGAGTCGTGTCGGAAGAAATGTATCTTAAATTGATCCGCGGTGGCCTTATATTAACATCGTAAACGTGGATTGTCGTAAAATGGAGATCACCTGTATTGTTGTTGATTTTGCATTTCTCTTAATTGCGTGTTTTATCCCTTGAGGCTCACCAGATAATTGGTTATATTTGTTTGTTATACATAACAAAACAAACTTATTTGGGACACAATCTATTTGTAAGATAAGACATTTTAATCGCTGTAATTTTACATAATAAGGCAGTGTTTATGACAAAGGTGATTATTTTCATTGTTTTGTTCAATTTATGTGTTGGAAATGATTAGCCCCTTGGACTTCACAGTCCAGAGGTTTCTGATGTTCACGTGTGGTGGAGTCGAGTGTGGGTACTGCCAAGATGTCGGGCCAGTGTGAAAGAGTAGACCAAATACCATTTAGAGGGGTTCCCTCTCGCGGAAAGCCTTCAGCCAGCAGTGGCGTGAGCAGGAAATGTGCAGGGCTTGCAACTTTATCTTTTCATTTGTTCCACTGGGAGCTAGAATTAGACGGAGTGTGGCGGTGCGCTTGGAGGGACACGCGTGATGAGAGTGCGCGCACGTGTGTGTGTATTGCACCGAATGCTGCTTGACACGTGTAATTGCAGTGTTTACCCTCGGAGCAACCTTTACTCGAATCTCGTGTTAACCTTTACCTGCACGATGCGCCTGCTCTTTGTAATGGAAATTGCTGTGCGTTGTTAATTCACTCCTCTGTATGTCTCGATGTTGCTTTGAGGAGGACTGCGATACTTCTTGTTCCGTGTCGCTTTGGGCGTAAGTTCAGAAGTGCGTGCATTTGAACTTCTCTTTCACATATGCAGTTTTAATTACTTTATTTGCTCTTTTACAAAAATGTACATACTCAATCTTACAAGCTACAGCTTATCAGGTGACATGTCTGGATTAGAGCTGTACTTCCAAAGTATGCGTTATGGATAGCTAACGTTTGTTTATCGGGGAACTTTCTCAGGAGAGCCCTGGGGTGTTGCCGTGGCTTTTTTTTCGTCTTCAAAATTCAGTCATTTAAAAGTAAAATTTCAAATGGGACCATGACACCGGCACTGAAATGGCAGCGTCGTGGCAAACACTTTTTTTAGAATGACATCACGGGGTCTTCACCGTCCGCGGCGGTGCAGACGGCACGCAGTAAGAATCAGAATCTTTATTTATATTGTAGGGGTTATCTGATGAGCTACTAAGCTCTTTTTCACACATGTCCAGTAGGAACGGGTCAGAAAGTTTCAACAAAGAAAAACACGATAGGAATGCAAAGTATAGGAAAGGTGAGCAGACCACAACAAAATTAAACTAAACTAATTTTTTTATGTTACCAGGTAAAGCCCACTGAGCTATTAGCTTCTTTTTCAGAAGCTACCTAGCCACAAATGACAGCTCAATGAGAAGTGGCTTATCATGTGGAAATGTATAGCAGCCAAATAATCCAAATGATCTAAACGCACAATTCTACATTCGGAGCGAAAACCCCGGAGGTAGATACGGCCACTGCAGCGTCAACCAGGGCAGCCGCGCCGCCACCATTTTCAAAATGGATTCTATTTCCAATTCGCCCACCCCACCCTCCTTCCACCGTGAATAATCCTCCAACAATCCCCATCCGTTCCGTTCGTTCTCGTGGACTCGACGATTGGGACCGGTGTGCAGAGGGCGAAATCAAGAGTGGTGGCTGTGACTGACGAATGTTGGCGGCCATGTAATGTGAGTTAGCAAGTTACGTGGAAATACTTCTCCATACGTTTGCATGTCGCCGACTCGTTTTAACATCGACTACTGAGCCTATATTAAACCAACAGTCGTAGGTTACATGTATGCATGTGCATTCAACTTATTTAGGTAGGTTACATGTATGTATGTGCATTCAACTTCTTTTGCACTGTACGTAGCAAATCGTGCTAATTAAAGGTAATGCATCTGTTTTGTTTGCATCGGCGATGATGTAATTCATACGGAAGAAATTGAGTTCTGTACAAATATACTCGAGTTTTTATTAATACGTTCGAAAGGGCATTTGTTGTTATCGCGATGAACCTAGCGACCCGAGTGGCGAGCGGTATCTGAGCCATTCCTGGCTCTGCCAAACTTCACCAGGCTGCACTAACCGGCACGGTGAAGTATGCTCAAATAACCCCCACGAGGCCTTGTACCAGCAGTGGATTGACCGAGTGCTGTATCACTATCATCGTTGAGTAATTAATCCTTACCTTAAACTTGACTCAAATAACAACGCTTGAAACGCACCAAACTAAATAGGGCTATTGAGTGGGCTTCAAAAAATCGTTCCACTTCATTTCCACTCAAACATCGCAGCACTTTCCGCACACGTGAAAGACAGAAAAAAAGCTATCGTGAGTTGTACTTTTAGATTTATTTTATGAACATATTTACCTACATAGTTGATTTAAGAGTATGCACACTCCTTCTGATTTTTCATGCCCTGGCCGCTAAATTTACGAGACACCCGTTCCTCTTTGGCTTGCATAACGTAGCGATGTAGATTCCTTCCCCCGCCCGCCACCCCCCCTCTCAAAACGCGACTACCACAACCGGACATACGCCGAGGAGGCTGTTTTAGTCGCGAGCAGGCACGCTGCTCGCTCGTGCTCGCTCACAATCCCAGCTGGGAGGCTCGTGCTCGAGCTGTCACGTGGAGGAGGTGTTCTGCATTGTTTCACGTGTGTCCCGCACTCCGCGTCCCCTGTGGATCGCCCCACCTGCAGAGCCCGACTCTTAAGAAGCCAGCGACGTGTTGTGGGGAAGGACTTGTCAGAGAGCATTACCCCATCGTGGAGAAATTCCACATGTTTATCAATGTACTTCAGACTCGTGCGTGCGTGCGTGCGCGTGTGCACAAGCACTTGTCAAATATTTTGCGCCCACCACGTTTCCGCAGCGGGACTAGGCAGCCGTTCGGATCCCACGATTGATCTCGGCTAACTGATGATGCCCTACAGTGCACAATGCGAACTCGTGTCTGAAGCGGTAGGAGCTCCTGCCCTCGCCCCACCCTCTTTTCGATACATTGGAGAAACGTGTGCCGGCTGAACAACGACTCCCGCGGAAGCTTCAGCGACGCTGACTACCCAGTCCCCCCACCACCAAGAATCCCTAGCCCAGGGTGTTGGGCTTCCATCTGGCTCATGAGATCTGTCGACTCACTCCCATAGCAAAACATCAGGAGACCCGCTTCCTCCTTCGCTCGGAGGCCTGAAGAGGTGTTCTGCACCGCAAGGCTACAGATGTACATGTATAATGGTGCCTGCTTAAAAACTCAAAGTGCCTTACATCACGTTTCACCTTAACCATTCCATGCCCTGCTGCGGTTTGACCAAGGGGATACTCCAGTGGCAGCTGTCTCTGCGTGGCGCAAGGCTAAATCAGCACTCTTGGATCGTGCATTTGCTTAAGTTTATGCCATTCGGAAATCTGACAGTGGGAGCTTAGCATAGTAGAATGTTTTAAATGGCAAAAGGCATTCAACTTTTAACGTGTGAACCCATGGGCTGCTTGCGATCATTTCAATTCGCCGCCCCTGCTTGACATCAGTGAAACAGAGATTCATAGCTCATCGGATTTCCCCTCCACGAGTCTCAATAAAAATTAAGATTCTGACAATTCAGGTGCGACGTACGAAAGAAACCCCTCTATGAATATCCCGTGAGATGTACACATTCCTTCACGCTCCTCATTGTCACAAAGTCAACGCATATCATCGGCCGTGATCTATGCACTGCTGGATGAAGACCTTTCCGGGTCGTCACCACCTCTCACTGTCCTGCAATGTAACAATGAACCCAGCACCTGCGCAGGAGCCGATTTTATGGCTCCATCTCTGCAGCAGTCCGTTCCCTCCCCCGCCGCCGGGGTGACTCAGTCGGTACATCTCGAGACTCGTAATGCACACGTGTCCATATTTATGAAGGACACCCAATTATACGTTCTGATCTTACAGTTCCCTGTGCGTTCTCGTTGCGTGAGTGTTTGGACGGCTGTCCGTGCATTGGGCTTCATCTACAAGATTGATGGACACTCTCCGTGGTTGAATTTTGCTGTAACTCTTATCCAACACTTGCTGACTTGAGTTCATGATGCACTGCTGCACTGCCCTCTGCTGTTGACACCAGGGACATGTCAGTTCTGTTCCTTTGCATAATTAACATTAAAAGTGGCGGTAGTTTTTTTAATACATGAATTGAAATAACAACAATCTTCCAGTCACTAGCCGTGTACGGAACGATCGCGTGCTCTCGTGCGTGCGTTCCCCGGCCAGGCTTGCGCGGGCCGCCGTCCTTCTGCTGTGCGACGAGGAGGAGGCCGCTCGGCTGGACGCGGCTTGCTTTGCCTCCTGCTTCTCGGAGCTCGAGCTGGAGGAGGAGGCGACGCCGTCGCCGCTGCGGCAGCAGGAGAGGCGGGAGGGGGAGCAGGAGGAGGAGGAAGACGCCGCCGCCGCGAGGGGGCCCCGGGGCGCGCCGCCCTCCGAGTCGGTGCACGGCGGCGTAGCGACGCGCCTCGCCGCGGCTTTCCTCGGCCGTCTGGCCCGCCGCAGGTGCTGGGAGTCGCTGGTCGCCCTCCACGGCTTCCTGGCGCTGCCCGACGTCGGCGCCGCCTTGCACGTCCACGCGGCGGTTTCGTCGAAGTGAGTCGCGCGAACGCTTAGCGCCGTGCCGCCGGGGTGGGTGCCGTCTCGTTTCCGCTGCGCTGCACGGTTACATTGGCAGCGTGAGCTGCGCACAAGCTGAATTCGTTTCTGTGTATGTGTACAGCCCTTTGTCAAGCCACAGAGTGGATCTTGGGGATTGTTTGGCCGTACTTCACCACGCTGGTCAGTGCGCGTTAGCAAGGGGGGGCGGCCTAGGTCCGCTTCAGACGTCGCTCGCCGCCGTCCTTAGCCATGGCTGGGAATCAAACTCGCGTCGCCGGGTTCGGGGTACAGCGCGCTAACCACCGCAGCACTGCTCCCCAGGTTGCAGGTAGTTAATCACACGACATGGCGAAGGTGGAGTTGCAAAGAACGGTGAAGTGGGGTAGGCCCAGGACGGGTTTAGATATCGCTCCCCACTGATGTGAACTCTGATCTGACGTTTAACCTTCGTTGCTGGGTTCATGGCGCAGTTTTCTCATCAATGAAGCGTTGCCCCGCGCAATCAAGATTTCTCATGTTTAAGTTATTCATGGAATATTGCATTGGACTTTATAATGCAGTTACTCCTGTAGATATCTTATGAATAATGTCCCGGATCTCGGTCTGCTTGTACCCTAAGGTCAGCAGCTGGGACGCTGTTTGAGGTTTCCGACATCAAAGCGCCAGCGTGCGGACTACGTGCGGCTCCCTTTATGGATCAAAGTTTGCACCCTTGAGCTGCCCAGAGAATCAATGACAGTCAACGATGAATTAAAGTCACGTTCACAGTACCAATGCTTAACCTAAGTTTTACAATTGGAATGCATATTTACGTTCCCTGGACACAGGTGCTTTGTAAGGTGCTTTTGATTATGATAACAATGGATATATGCTTCGGCTTACATATTTGAAAAGAGAAAGTTGACAGAATAAAAAATGCGACTAAAACGGAAGAATGGCACGTGCTTACAGGATACCATCCGGTGAAGGAATACACCACTGAACACTGAACGGGAAAACATGCTTAAAGCCCATTTCTGTGGCTTGCCCGACGACGCTGGTTGTAACTTCTCGCGTGACGCGAGCTGTTGCGGGGGCTGTACCTTTACCTTTCCTTTTTTTTACTTTGGGTTAAATGTTACGGATCTAAAGGTGTGCGCATGTGAGAAACCATGAAGCACGGTGGCAAGATGTGAAATACCTCGTCGTGGTATGCAGGAGGTCGTGGGTTAGATCCCGACACCTGTGTATTTTGAGTTTGCATGTTCTTCCCGTGGCCGCATGGATTTTTCTGCGGTTCCTCCGGTTTTCCCCTCCACATTGAAACACACGCGTTTAGACTACTTGGTTGCCTTACATTTCCACATGATAAGCCACTTCGTTGGCCTATCATTTGTGGCCAGGTGGCTTCGGAAAAATAGCTGTACAGCTCAGTGAGCCTTACCCGGTAAATAAAAAAAAAAATAGTTTAGTTTAAATAGTTTAGACTTGTAATGCTTTCCTCCTTCCACGTGGCGTGCAGGCCGCTGAACCTGTTTGAGCAGGAGGAGGGGGGCGCATACGGAGAGCCGCTGGCGCTCGCTCGCCTGGCCGCCCCCTTGCTGGAGCAGGCCGTGGCCTCCTGGGCCACCCACCCCGAGGGCCGCAGCCTGCTCGGCGCCTGGCTACTCAGTGGAATCGCCTCCACCGGGAGTCTTCTGCAGCACTGTCGCCAGTTTCACAGCCAGTGTGAGTGTCTCCAGGAGATTTTGTAACCCCCTCCCTTTGTGAGGGAAGTCGAACGGCGCGTTTTTAGTTTAATGGGGGTTGTTTTTTTAGCGGCGCATCGGCCCATATTCACTCATCATCGCCGGCCATGATCAATCCACTCCTGGACGAAGGCCCCCTCAAGCCGTCACCATCCCTCGCGATCCTGCGACAGAATAATCCAACTAGCGCGGGCACGCACAGAATAATCCAACTAACACCGGGGCACACACAGAATAATCCAACTAGCGCGGGCACACACAGAATAATCCAACTAACACCGGGGCACACAGAATAATCCAACTAACACCGGGGCACATACAGAATAATCCAACTAGCGCTGGGACACACAGAATAATCCAACTAGCGCTGGGACACACAGAATAATCCAACTAGCGCCTGCACACACAAAATAATCCAACTAGCGCTGGGACACACAGAATAATCCAACTAGCGCCGGGGCACACAGAATAATCCAACTAACACCGGGGCACATACAGAATAATCCAACTAGCGCTGGGACACACAGAATAATCCAACTAGCGCTGGGACACACAGAATAATCCAACTAGCGCCTGCACACACAAAATAATCCAACTAGCGCTGGGACACACAGAATAATCCAACTAGCGCCGGGGCATACAGAATAATCCAACTAGCGCCGGGGCACACAGAATAATCCAACTAACACCGGCACACACAGAATAATCCAACTAACACCGGGGCACACAGAATAATCCAACTAGCGCTGGGACACACAGAATAATCCAACTAGCGCCTGCACACACAAAATAATCCAACTAGCGCTGGGACACACAGAATAATCCAACTAGCGCCGGGGCACACAGAATAATCCAACTAGCGCCGGGGCACACAGAATAATCCAACTAACACCGGGGCACACACAGAATAATCCAACTAACACCGGCACACACAGAATAATCCAACTAACACCGGGGCACACACAGAATAATCCAACTAACACCGGGACACACACAGAATAATCCAACTAACACCGGGGCACACACAGAATAATCCAACTAGCGCCGGGGCACACAGAATAATCCAGCTAGCGCCGGGGCACACACAGAATAATCCAACTAACGCCGGCACACACAGAATAATCCAACTAACGCCGACACACAGAATAATCCAACTAGCACCGGGGCACACAGAATAATCCAACTAACGCCTGCACACACAGAATAATCCAACTAGCACCGGGGCACACAGAATAATCCAACTAGCGCCTGCACACACAGAATAATCCAACTAGCGCCGGGGCACACAGAATAATCCAGCTAGCGCCGGGGCACACAGAATAATCCAACTAGCGCCTGCACACACAGAATAATCCAACTAACACCGGGACACACACAGAATAATCCAACTAACACCGGGGCACACACAGAATAATCCAACTAGCGCCGGGGCACACAGAATAATCCAACTAACACCGGGGCACACAGAATAATCCAGCTAGCGCCGGGGCACACACAGAATAATCCAACTAACGCCGGCACACACAGAATAATCCAACTAACGCCGACACACAGAATAATCCAACTAGCACCGGGGCACACAGAATAATCCAACTAGCGCCGGGACACACACAGAATAATCCAACTAGTGCCAGGGCACACACAGAATAATCCAACTAACGCCTGCACACACAGAATAATCCAACTAGCGCCTGCACACACAGAATAATCCAGCTAGCGCCGGGACACACACAGAATAATCCAACTAGCGCCTGCACACACAGAATAATCCAACTAGCGCCGGGGCACACAGAATAATCCAACTAACACCGGCACACACAGAATAATCCAACTAACACCGGGGCACACAGAATAATCCAACTAACGCCGGGGCACACACAGAATAATCCAACTAGCGCCGGGACACACACAGAATAATCCAACTAACGCCTGCACACACAGAATAATCCAACTAACACCGGGACACACACAGAATAATCCAACTAACGCCGGGGCACACAGAATAATCCAGCTAGCGCCGGGGCACACAGAATAATCCAACTAACACCGGCACACACAGAATAATCCAACTAACACCGGGGCACACAGAATAATCCAACTAGCGCCGGGGCACACAGAATAATCCAACTAGCGCCTGCACACACAGAATAATCCAACTAGCGCCGGGGCACACAGAATAATCCAACTAACACCGGGACACACACAGAATAATCCAACTAACACCGGGGCACACACAGAATAATCCAACTAGCGCCGGGGCACACAGAATAATCCAACTAGCGCCGGGGCACACACAGAATAATCCAACTAACGTCGGCACACACAGAATAATCCAACTAGCGCCTGCACACACAGAATAATCCAACTAACGTCGGCACACACAGAATAATCCAACTAACGCCAGGGCACACAGAATAATCCAACTAGCGCCTGCACACACAGAATAATCCAACTAGTGCTGGGGCACACACAGAATAATCCAACTAACACCGGGGCACACACAGAATAATCCAACTAACGCCGGGGCACACACAGAATAATCCAACTAGCGCCTGCACACAGAATAATCCAACTAGCGCCTGCACACAGAATAATCCAACTAGCGCCTGCACACACAGAATAATCCAACTAACGCCTGCACACACAGAATAATCCAACTAACGCCGACACACAGAATAATCCAACTAGCACCGGGGCACACACAGAATAATCCAACTAGCGCCTGCACACAGAATAATCCAACTAGCGCCTGCACACACAGAATAATCCAACTAACGCCGACACACAGAATAATCCAACTAACACCGGGGCACACACAGAATAATCCAACTAGCACCTGCACACACAGAATAATCCAACTAGCGCCTGCACACACAGAATAATCCAACTAGCCCCGGGGCACACGCAGAATAATCCAACTAACGCCGGGGCACACAGAATAATCCAACTAGCGCCAACACACAGAATAATCCAACTAGCGCTGGGACACACAGAATAATCCAACTAGCGCCTGCACACACAGAATAATCCAACTAGCGCCGGGGCACACAGAATAATCCAACTAGCGCCGACACACAGAATAATCCAACTAGCGCCTGCACACACAGAATAATCCAACTAGCGCCTGCACACACAGAATAATCCAACTAGCGCCGGGGCACACGCAGAATAATCCAACTAACGCCGGGGCACACAGAATGATCCAGCTAGCGCCGGGGCACACAGAATAATCCAACTAACACCGGCACAACGAGCGGATTTCAAAGCTCCATCTCCTGTGTGAACTTACCCCGAACACGTTCCTCCTTTGGCTGTCGCTCCGTAACATTACTCTTGATCATCTCCCATCGTCCCTTCTAGCGAGCTTTGTAAACCCAATGACTTTGCTTGACATTTTTAACAGTATAATCAACATGTTTATTAGCAAGAGAGCATTTCTGTCACGGTGAATGTTTTTCTTTTATTCGGTATTATTTTTAACTAGTGGTCCTGGCTTGGTAAGACGCAATACGCATCAAATGATCCGATGGATTCTCTCTTGAGTAATTTTGCTTGCGTTCGGGAATGTGGACGCCCAAGGAAGACCCGTACGTGTGACAGGCAAGCATACCCTGTACTGAAACGTTAAACAGTCTACTTTCCGGACTGTGCAGACAAACACCCCTTCAGCATCATGGTTCTATTGCATTTTGTGGCAAGAGCCTGCCTCTCGGTCATTCTGCGCTAATATGGCATGTGGTCGTGATGTATGCCATCGGCCCATCGGTCAGAACACACATTTTACGAGTGCAGTTAAGTGAACCTTTTCACACGTAAATAACGTTGCGAACTTTAATGGCATTACATTACTTTGAACCAATGACGAATGTGATCGCTGGCCATATTATCCATGAGTAAGACATTTCCTTACTCTTGCCAATAACTCTCTCCCATCTTCTTTGGTTCTTTCTACGTGACTTTACCGAAAGAACCAAAGAAGATTAATCCTTGCAGTCACGAAAGCTTTAAATCGAAACTCTCTCCCAGTTTGGTATAAATGTATAACCCCTCAGCGGCTCATGACAGCCAACAGAGAATAGAGATGGTATAAGCACATTGAATTGCTTCGTGCCATCATGGCCTCACGTATGAAGCGACTTTAGTCCATGTTCCACATCTTCCCTCATCGATAAGTCAGCAGGAGTAGAGGCTAACACTTGGTCGCCAAGTCAGTTTGCTAGTCAGGGGATGACACTGTCTTCAGCTACCTAATTCATTTTGTGAGATTACCAAAGTGAGCCATCTGCACAACAAAGACTTCATTTTATGTATGTTGAATTTCTTTCACACCGTACGTAGCCAACGGTGCTAATTTGAGGTGCGGGGAAGGACAACAAACTAAACACAACAACAACAAACAGTTGTAAAGAAACGAGTTTTCAATCTAGATAGAGTAACCTGCAAGATAAAGAGGTCATCATGGCCACAGCTGTTGATACCATCACCAGCGCACCTTGCCAAAGCCGTATCCCCTTGGCACTTCTGCGTTGCAAGAGTAGACCAGTGTGTGTGTGTGTGCGTAGATTTCGGTTCCCAAATTTTTAATTGCCTGCAAATATCCCACAGCGGTGGAGAGTGTGTGATGTTGTAGCCGCGTCTCTCACCGCATCCCTTCGGCTTCCCTTGGTGGTTGAGCACGTTCGGGTATGACTAATGTAATGTGATGCCCAGTATTAAATGGTCACATTCCCCTCCCCCCCCCATTATGTTAGTTTAAATGTACATAGTATGCAGATTTTAATACTTACATTTCAAAAGAATCACCATTATTAAGATTAGAGAAAATTGCCTGCCACATTGAACAATATTCATGAAAGGAAATGGCCACACATTGCAAGAACATCCTAAAACAAGTATTGAGACTAATTATATATTACATGAGTAAATATAATTAGATTGAATGAATGTGCTTGTTAAAATAACTGTGTATAGCTTTGAGAGAAAATATATTTGCAGTGTGGGTGTACGCTGTGCTTATTATTGTGGTTAGTGCACTGCGCTATGAACCCAACATAACAGTGGCCAACGTTTGAAACGGTCCTGGGCCTCCCCTAGTTTGACTCAGCCTTTAAACTGAGTACCTGGTACGGCGTGTAAACAAAAGGCAGCCACCCATCTCCTCGTGTCCCCTGCATGCCTTGATCGGTGTTCGCTGACAGCACTTGTCCCGAAAGTTTGTTAAGGCTACACGGGCAGCCTTTACCTTTGTTATTCTAAGCGAGTGGTCAGCAACTTGCGGCTCTTTAAGGACTGCTTCTTGACGTTATTTACGAAGGACCGTCTCATGTTTACATGCATTGCGGCTCTTGTAATTTGGTTGCCACGCCCTGTTGTAGGCGGTGGCCCGGCCGAGGTGTTCGCCGCGGTGCAACAGAACCGGCCCTACACGGCACTCCACATCCTCCGTCTCAACCTGCTGCTGCTGGCCCGCGCCTGGGAGGCGCTCGAGGGGACCGGGCCGTGCCCCACGGTTCTCCCCGCGGAGCCGGAGGAACGCGAGCCGCCCTGGGACAGCGCCGCCCGTGGTCCAGGCGTTTTGTCCGTGCGCGAGCTACGCCGGCAAGCGGAGTGGCTGAGTCAGGAGCTGCTGGCTCCATTCTCGGCCCTCAGCAGCAAGGCGACGTGACCATGGCAGGCGAGTAACGCGTCGCACGCTAGCGGAAGTCCTATCGTACGTGTCGTGCATGCCGCTGGGGAACAGAGATCATCGCTGGTGAGTGGTGATCATGGGACCGAAGACTAGACACGTGATCGTATTACCCTTCTGTGCAACTCCAGCTAGGCCACGTGTTGTGATTCACTACCTGCAAACTAGGGTGCAGTGCTGCAGTGGCAAGCGCGCTGTACTGTGACAGGCGCTCTGTACCGTGGTGAGCGCTCTGTACCGTGGTGAGCGCTCTGTACCGTGGTGAGCACGCTGTACCGTGGCGAGCACTCTGTACTGTGGTGAGCACTCTACTGTGGTGAGCGCTCTGTACCGTGGTGAGCGCTCTGTACCGTGGTGAGCGCTCTGTACCGTGGTGAGCACGCTGTACCGTGGCGAGCACGCTGTACCGTGGTGAGCGCTCTGTACCATGGCGAGCACTCTGTACCGTGGTGAGCGCTCTGTACCGTGGCGAGCGCTCTGTACCGTGGTGAGCACGCTGTACCGTGGTGAGCACGCTGTACCGTGGTGAGCGCTCTGTACCGTGGCGAGCACTCTGTACCGTGATGAGCACTCTGTACCGTGGCGAGCACTCTGTACCGTGGTGAGCCCGGCGACGTGAGTTTGATTCCCCGCCATGGCCAACATCGGCAGCGAGCGACGTCCGAACCGCTCGTAGGCCGCCCCCCTCGCTGGTGAAGTATGGTCAAACAAATCTCCACGATTGACATGGTGAAGGGTGGCCTTCATGCAGTCGTGGATTGGCGTGGCCCCGTACTGTAAACCGGGCTGCTTGATCAGTTTGGCCCTCGATTACTTGCTCCAGCATGGACTTCTTCCCACACTCAAAGCTGCAAGTGTTTTAAAAACAATAATGAAAATAAATTTACGTTTTTATTTATAACCGCGTGCGGTGCCAAAACCGATCGCTTGCTACAAGAGACCAGGGAAGATTTGATGGCAGCGTCGGTAAGAGTTGCTCCGGCGATGTGAATGTTGTCGGAAGCGGTAAGGGAACGCATCGTGTAATGTAGGCCTGCAGTCACAAACAACGCACAAAGTTGCGTGATTGATTTTTGTCGTGAAACAATGTGGCAGTGATCAAGTGAAAAACAAGAAATTGTACAAATCATTTGTACGGCCTCGGAAATATTATCGTCTTAGTGACGAATCGTCGGTCCGAGAAAATCTACCCAGCGGTAGTGACGATTAGCATCGCAAATCAAGGACTGAAACATAAAGTTACGTACTTTGAAATTATAACACACGAGATACTGAGGAGTAAAATATATTTTTTTGTTCCAGCACACATGGTGGTGCTAATTGTGTCTCTTCTTCATGAAACGCGGTGTTCTGCAGATCACGTTAGCACAACACGTACCGCTGTGCAAGGAGCGCCAGAGAGATGCCGTGACCCACGTTCAAACGTCACCCTTCCGTACCCGTTTAAAGCGGCGAGCTGCCCTAGCGTGTGATGGTTGGCACACGGCACTCTCCAGAGGGCGCTGGTTCGATTCCCTCTCCTGGCGCGGCAGTTATAATATTTGCGCAAGTTTCATAAAACGCACCTCCGCGTCTATCCACCCATCGGCACACAGTTGATTGGTATGTCACGTGTGGTGGGGTACAGGGTGTGGGTACTCTTACCTCTTCCAAACACGTGTGGCCAGCGTAGACAATTAAACCAAACAGCCTCCAGAGCACCCTTAGTGGAGGCCCTTCTGACAGCAGTGGTGTGAGCGAGCTGTTGCAGGATTGCGCTTTTGCCCGTTTACAAGGGGGAGCAGTGGCACAGTGGTTAGCGCGCTGGAGTGTGACACCGATGACCGGTGTTGGAATCGGAGGTTGAATCGTTCTGTTTGAGCATCTTTTGTGGATTATGAGGCAGCTATCTGATTTAATTTTGATATTCATTATTTTCAAACATCAACGATTAACTGGGGTGAAGAATGTTTTAAACCTGGGCCTACAGTGAGGGAAAAAAGTATTTGATCCCCTGCTGATTTTGTACGTTTGCCCACTGACAGAATTGATCAGTCTATAATTTTAATGGTAGGTTTATTTGAACAGTGAGAGACGGAATAACAATTCTAGATTTAAAGCTTTCGTGACTGCTAGGATCCATACTCTTTGGTTCTATTGGGTAAAGTCACGTAGGTGAAAATAAAATAACAAAAAATCACGACGTTTCGGCCACAACACAAGCGGCCTTCATCAGGTGAAAGGACGAGACTGTCTGGAGGACAGCGCTGGAGTGGAAGAAGCCACGCTTAGATCACGACCTTTAAGCTGTGTGAGAAGAAAAAGACCACGCGCCTTGACAAAGGAATTAGCATATAATTTAGCATTGAAATGGCTCATTGAAATAGCCAAGTTAAAGTATACACATCCGCAGAGGTACCCCTTGACAAAGGAATTAGCGCTGCTTGACAAAGGAATTAGCATATAATTTAGCATTGAAATGGCTCATTGAAATAGCTAAGTTAAAGTATACACATCCGCAGAGGTACCCCTTGACAAAGGAATTAGCGCTGGAGTGGAAGAAGCCACGCTTAGATCACGACCTTTAAGCTGTGTGAGAAGAAAAAGGCCAAGTGCCTTGACAAAGGAATTAGCATATAATGTAGCATTGAAATGGCTCATTGAAATAGATAAGTTAAAGTATACACATACGCAGAGGTACCCCTTGACAAAGGAATTAGCATCGAATTTTGCATTGAAATAGCTGAGTGATTATACCATAGGGCTCATTGCATTTCGCACCAGCCCCACCTGACCAGTGAATTAAAACATGTACACCTGGCCCTCAAAAGGAATGGTTACTCTGACCGTACCATCCGCCAAGCTGTCTCTCCCTCCATACAGAAACAACCACTTGATACTCCGGTCAAAACCATCACACTTCCATATATAGCAGGCGTTACTAAAAAGATTTCCAAAATTCTAAACAAACACAAGATCCAGGTCCGGTTCAATACAGTACACAAAATTCGTGATCTGATCCCATCCGTGAAGGATGCCATTCCTGATTTACAGTACCCCGGGGTTTACAAATTGTGTTGTACCTGCGGTGATTGCTACATCGGTGAGACAAAGCGACATATCTCTGACCGAATTCGCGAGCACAAATCATATTTGAAACATGGCAAAACGAATTCTTCTGCCGTGGCTGATCACTGTTACAACGCTGTGGGGGATCACGATATAATTTTCCCCGATACCAAGGTTCTTTGCAAACCCTCGGGCTTTTATCAGAGATTTGTTCATGAAGCAATTCAGATCTACAAACACAGACACAATTTCAACAGAGAGGATGGTTTCAAATTAAGCAACCATTGGAAAGATGTTCTAAATCGAACTAAACATTCAACTAATTTCAATGGTACAGTATATTTTTCAAGTAGTGGTACCCCAAACTTTCGCAGCTCTTATAAATTCCCCCTTTTCACACCATCAATAGGTAAACTCCCCCTCCCTCCTTCCCCCCCCCCCCCCCCCCGCGCCAAACTGCAAGTCCACCGGCACGTACACCACCTCTTTCCTAAAATCTGCCAATCAAATGCTATTTTTTATGCTAATTTCTTTGTCAGAACACCTTGTTTGCTCGCACACAGGTCCGATGTTTGAGCGTGGTTGTGTTTCGCTAAATTTTCCTGTTTGATGAGTACTAGGTGCCTCGGTGAATGTATATGCTCTAACTTTAACATAGCTATTTCTGTGACCAGTTACAAGCTAATCACTCAGCTATTTCAATGCTAAATTCGATGCTAATTCCTTTCTCAAGGGGTACCTCTGCGGATGTGTTTACTTTAACTTAGCTATTTCAATGAGCCATTTCAATGCTAAATTATATGCTAATTCCTTTGTCAAGGCACTTGGCCTTTTTCTTCTCACCCAGCTTAAAGGTCGTGATCTAAGCGTGGCTTCTTCCACTCCAGCGCTAATTCCTTTGTCAAGGGGTACCTCTGCGGATGTGTATACTTTAACTTAGCTATTTCAATGAGCCATTTCAATGCTAAATTATATGCTAATTCCTTTGTCAAGGCGTGTGGTTTTTTTCTTCTCACACAGCTTAAAGGTCGTGATCTAAGCGTGGCTTCTTCCACTCCAGCGCTGTCCTCCAGACAGTCTCGTCCCTTCACCTGATGAAGGCCGCTTGTGTTGTGGCCGAAACGTCATGATTTTTTGTTATTTTATTTTCACCTACGTGACTTTACCCAATAGAACCAAAGAAGACAGAATAACAACAACAAAATCCAGAAAAACGCATGTCAAAAATGTTATAAATTGATTTGCATTTTAATGAGGGAAATAAGTATTTGACCCCTCTGCAAAACATGACTTAGTACTTGGTGGCAAAACCCTTGTTGGCAATCACAGAGGTGAGACATTTCTTGTAGTTGGCCACCAGGTTTGCACACATCTCAGGAGGGATTTTGTCCCACTCCTCTTTGCAGATCTTCTCCAAGTCATTAAGGTTTCGAGGCTGACGTTTGGCAACTCGAATCTTCAGCTCCCTCCACAGATTTTCTGTGGGATTAAGGTCTGGAGACTGGCTAGGCCACTTCAGGACCTTAATGTGCTTCTTCTTGAGCTACTCCTTTGTTGCCTTGGCCGTGTGTTTTGGGTCATTGTCATGCTGGAATACCCATCCACGACCCATTTTCAATGCCCTGGCTGAGGGAAGGAGGTTTTCACCAAAGATTTGACGGTACATGGCCCCATGCATCGTCCCTTTGATGCGGTGAAGTTGTCCTGTCCCCTTAGCAGAAAAACACCCCCAAAGCATAATGTTTCCACCTCCATGTTTGACGGTGGGGATGGTGTTCTTGGGGTCATAGGCAGCATTCCTCCTCCTCCAAACACGGCGAGTTGAGTTGATGTCAAAGAGCTCCATTTTGGTCTCATCTGACCACAACACTTTCACCCAGTTGTCCTCTGAATCATTCAGATGTTCATTGGCAAACTTCAGACGGGCATGTATATGTCCTTTCTTGAGCAGGGGGACCTTGCGGGCGCTGCAGGATTTCAGTCCTTCACGGCGTAGTGTGTTACCAATTGTTTTCTTGGTGACTATGGTCCCAGCTGCATTGAGATCATTGACAAGATCCTCCCGTGTAGTTCTGGGCTGATTCCTCACCGTTCTCATGATCATTGCAACTCCACGAGGTGAGATCTTGCATGGAGCCCCAGGCCGAGGAAGATTGACAGTTCTTTTGTGTTTCTTCAATTTGCGAATAATCGCACCAACTGTTGTCACCTTCTCACCAAGCTGCTTGGCAATGGTCTTGTAGCCCATTCCAGCCTTGTGTAGGTCTACAACTTGTTCCTGGCATCATTGGAGAGCTCTTTGGTCTTGGCCATGGTGGAGAGTTTGGAATCTGATTGATTGATTGCTTCTGTGGACAGGTGTCTTTTATACAGGTAACAAGCTGAGATTAGGAGCACTCCCTTTAAGAGTGTGCTCCTAATCTCAGCTCGTTACCTGTGTAGAGGTGTTAACTACGCGCTGTTGCGTAACCTGCATTGCCACCAGGGCAGTGCAGCATTACCCCTGGGTACAACGGTTGGGGTCAGTCGAGGTGAAACGGATCGTGGCCAGGGTTTGGTGCGAACCAATCAGACGGTTCCACGTGGGAATGTATGATTGGTTCTACCTGGCCACGAAGGGGTATAAGCCGGGTGACCCAACGGACCTCGGGGAGTTCTGTCCCTGCACGAAGATAGAAGACTGGGCTGAAGCCTAGCTAGGACCCTGGACCAGCCTTTCAGCCCTTCTAAGGGCTAAGGCTCGGCATACCCAGTGGTCAGGACCCACCGGGCCAGCGGTGGGTCAGATAGCCTCCCCTAGGTCCTAGCCGGAGGACTAGGATAGCGGTAGACGTGTGAGTCCCGCCAGGTCCGGAGGCTGTACCTCCCTAGGGTATCGGGTGAGGGGACCGAATATCCCTCTGTGTGTGTTAAGCGTTGTATAAGGAAATAATACAATAAACAGAGTGTGCCTCCTAAAGAAGTCTGCTCGTCCTTACAACACTACACCTGTATAAAGGACACCTGGGAGCCAGAAATCTTTCTGATTGAGAGGGGGTCAAATACTTATTTCCCTCATTATAATGCAAATCAATTTATAACATTTTTGACATGCGTTTTTCTGGATTTTTGTTGTTATTCTGTCTCTCACTGTTCAAATAAACCTACCATTAAAATTATAGACTGATCATTTATTTGTCAGTGGGCAAACGTACAAAATCACCAGGGGATCAAATACTTTTTTCCCTAACTGTATACTAGGAAGGCTTTTAATATTGTATATTTCGGCCATTTATTTTATATTTATCCGTTTAATAAAACATGTTTTGTCGACTTGGACATTGTAAAATATGTCCCTGAATAAAGTTGTCCCAATTTAGCCAGACCTGTTAAATTTTTTTTTATTATTATTAACACATTCACTCACTGACATCTTCTCCCTTGGCTTATTTTTAGGTGCACAGTATGTACAATTTGTTTAAAGGTGTGTCTGTTATTATTGTTTGTGTTCGCAGGTTTGCAGATGAATTAGTTGCGATCACAACTGTTGGCTGATTACGTTCTGCTGCCCCTGTTGCCAAGGGGATATCACTCGCTGTTTTACGTCCTTGTCGATGCAGTTTTAAATTCATGCCGGTATCCTGAACGATGCACGATTCAGACTAACGTACCACTTTACCGGTATGTCTGTGTTTTATAAAAACAAAATCGTAACGTTGCCATTTTCACCCAGTTTTATTCCTGCAGTGTTGTCATGGGGACTTAAGCCTCCACAGAAGTGGATCTCACAGAGCAAGTGACCAGTGGTCTACACAGCAAAAGGGGACTCGTTGACACATGCTCTGCTGCATGTGACAATGATGTTGGTGACATGGCAGTCAAACCGATATTGGAATTTAGCCACCACAGAACCAAATTTTAATGCAAAGGGTTTTTGTTTTGTGCAGTGATTAGTGAGCTGAGACCATGAACTCCCAATACTCGAGAACCCAGTTGGAGCACAGGCCACTGCCTGGGTTTGAACCCGGGAACCCAGTAGTGCCGGTTCAATGCTCCTAACTCTGTGCTATATTATAAAACAAACTAATCATTTGTCTTCCTCAAGGTGAAAGTCTAATTTCATAAACAGGTTCATCTCTATTCTTAGTTTTTTCGGTAAAGTCATGTTGAAGAGAAACAACAAAATAACAAAATATATATAAAACAATAAAAATTCTCACGACGTTTCGACCATAACTCAAACGGTCATCATCAGGTGTGTCGGTTTGCATAAATTTATTTTGAAAACGGCATATTTATTTATATATATAAAAATAACGTTTGCGTCACGCGCAACGATGGCAGTTTGCCAGGACTAGTCCATCTATTTTTTTGAAAAGAGGAGGGGGGAGACGAAATTTGTTTTTATGTATGCTGTCTGAAAGGCACTGTAAGCGTGAACAATCAATCAAGAACTGAAATGATTTATCAAATCTTTCCAATGATTGCTAAGATAGAATCCATCTTCTCGGTTGAAATTGTCTCTGTGTTTGTATATGTGGATAGCCTCATGAACGAATCTCTCATGGAAGCCAGATGGCTTACAAAGAACCTCCGTCTTGGAAAAGTCAATGGCATGTGAGCCTACTGAATTAGAACAATGATCTGCTACGGCCGAGGTGTTGGTCCTACCGTGTTTAAGGTCTGCTTTATGTTCACGAATGCGGTCCGAGATATGGCGTTTGGTTTCTCCAATGTAACTACTACCACAGAGGCAACTTAGTTTGTAGACACCAGGGTATTGTATGTCCGGAATCACATCTTTTACAGACGGAACCAGATCACGGATTTTATGTAATGTGTTGAAACGGACCTGGATCTTGTGTTTATTCAAGATTTTGGAGATCTTTTTTGTGATCCCAGCAATGTAGGGTAAAGTGATGGTTTTGAAAGGCTCCTCAAGAGGGTTCTTCTTCATGGTTTGAGTGATAGCTTTGCGGATTGTATAGTCGGAGTAACCATTAGCCCTAAGAGCTTGGTGTACGTGCTTGAGTTCACTGCTTATGTGTTCCTGGTCGGATATGCATTGGGCTCTATGATACAGAGTCTTGATGAGAGAATTCTTCTGTGATGGATGGTGGTGGGAATCCGGTTTCAGATAAGCATCCGTATGGGTAGCTTTCCTGTAGACAGAGTGGCTCATTGAACCATCAGGTCTCTTTTTAATTAGGACATCCAAAAAAGGTATCTTGCCATCTATTTCGACTTCCATGGTAAATCTGATGGCTGGGTGTATGGAATTGATGTGGTCGAAGAATTTGTCTAGAGCAGGCCGGCCATGTGGCCAGATGACAAAAGTGTCATCCACGTACCTCTTCCATAAGGTTGGGCGCAGAGTGGCAGTCTGGATGGCGTCAGTCTCAAATTTCTCCATGAAAATGTTAGCTATAACTGGAGAAAGGGGGGAGCCCATTGGGGTGCCCTCAGTTTGTTTGTAGAAAGTTCCATTCCAAGTGAAGTATGTATTGGTTAAACAGTGTCTCACCAGGGGGGGTACCTCAGTGTTTAGTCCTTGATGAACCAAGTCTTCAATGATTGCAATGGTGTCAGGTACAGGAACCTTGGTGAATAAGGAAACTACATCAAACTGACAAGCAGGTCGTCTGGGGACAGGGAAATACCCTTGATTGTTGATACCAGGTGAGTAGAATTTTGTACCGCAGAGGTGGTCTTTCCAGTGAAAGGACGCAGGATTTCAGACAAAAAACGAGCTAGTTTGTAGGTGGGGGAGCTGATAGTAGAGACTATGGGACGAAGAGGTGTATCAACTTTATGTATTTTTGGTAAGCCGTATAATCTTGGTGGCCTGGCAGCAGAAGGTTTCAACGAAAACTGTTTAGATTGATCAATTAATGCGGTTGAATCAGAAATTATTTTGTTGGTTTGTGTGACGAGGCTGTTGGTGGGATCTCTTTTTATTTTTGTATAACTACCATCGTCGAGTAATTCTTTAATTTTGTTGTTGTATTCTATTTTATCCATGATAACAGTAGCATTGCCTTTGTCAGCTGAGAGAACTACAATATCATTCCTCTTTTTTAATTTATATAATTCAAAACGCTCATCTTTGCTGAGGTTGCTAGCTGGCATCTTAGCGTTTTTGAGGGTTGCAGCGATTTCAGATCTTGCTACGTCTGCAGCGATGTGACCCAGGCCCCTGAGAGCAACGTCTACTTGGGCAATTATATCATTAACTGGTATGTGTTTAGGTGTGACTGCAAAGTTTAGACCTTTAGCTAAAACGGATTTCAGACCATCGGAAATAGAACTGTTACTGCGATTAATTACGACTTTATTAACGTCTAACTTTTTGGTGTGTGGGTCCGGTCTTTTGTTTAAGAGGAGGTTAAATTTGGAAATCAGGTTTTCCTTACATTTGGTCGACATAGTAGCAGCTGAAGAGGCAGTCATATTGTCTACATGTTCCCAATCCGATGTGGACATTATTGCCGTCAATGATAAGTGTGAATTTGTAGAGTGTCTTGTCTAACTGATCTAGTTCTGTGCGTATAAGTCTGATTTTTTCTGAGATAAGAGCTAAGCTAGTTTTGAAAAGAATTCGTTTCGCATTAGAAGAAGTTACAGTAGCAGAGGTGAGTGTAAATGCGATTGGTATTACCCCAGAGTCGCGGCATCTCTTCAGGAAGGTGAGAGACTCGATCAGCTGAGCTTTCTTATCCCGGAGTTTGTTGAAAGATCTTAAAGTTATGTGAAAACCCTCCCCGTAGAGGCGATTAAATTTTGATTTAAAGCTTTCGTGACTGCAGTAATTCATATTCTTAGTTTTTTCGGTAAAGTCACGTTGAAGAGAAACAAAATGACTGCCTCTTCAGCTGCTACTATGTCGACCAAATGTAAGGAAAACCTGATTTCCAAATTTAACCTCCTCTTAAACAAAAGACCGGACCCACACACCAAAAAGTTAGACGTTAATAAAGTCGTAATTAATCGCAGTAACAGTTCTATTTCCGATGGTCTGAAATCCGTTTTAGCTAAAGGTCTAAACTTTGCAGTCACACCTAAACACATACCAGTTAATGATATAATTGCCCAAGTAGACGTTGCTCTCAGGGGCCTGGGTCACATCGCTGCAGACGTAGCAAGATCTGAAATCGCTGCAACCCTCAAAAACGCTAAGATGCCAGCTAGCAACCTCAGCAAAGATGAGCGTTTTGAATTATATAAATTAAAAAAGAGGAATGATATTGTGGTTCTCTCAGCTGACAAAGGCAATGCTACTGTTATCATGGATAAAATAGAATACAACAACAAAATTAAAGAATTACTCGACGATGGTAGTTATACAAAAATAAAAAGAGATCCCACCAACAGCCTCGTCACACAAACCAACAAAATAATTTCTGATTCAACTGCATTAATTGATCAATCTAAACAGTTTTCGTTGAAACCTTCTGCTGCCAGGCCACCAAGATTATACGGCTTACCAAAAATACATAAAGTTGATACACCTCTTCGTCCCATAGTCTCTACTATCAGCTCCCCCACCTACAAACTAGCTCGTTTTTTGTCTGAAATCCTGCGTCCTTTCACTGGAAAGACCACCTCTGCGGTACAAAATTCTACTCACCTGGTATCAACAATCAAGGGTATTTCCCTGTCCCCAGACGACCTGCTTGTCAGTTTTGATGTAGTTTCCTTATTCACCAAGGTTCCTGTACCTGACACCATTGCAATCATTGAAGACTTGGTTCATCAAGGACTAAACACTGAGGTACCCCCCCTGGTGAGACACTGTTTAACCAATACATACTTCACTTGGAATGGAACTTTCTACAAACAAACTGAGGGCACCCCAATGGGCTCCCCCCTTTCTCCAGTTATAGCTAACATTTTCATGGAGAAATTTGAGACTGACGCCATCCAGACTGCCACTCTGCGCCCAACCTTATGGAAGAGGTACGTGGATGACACTTTTGTCATCTGGCCACATGGCCGGCCTGCTCTAGACAAATTCTTCGACCACATCAATTCCATACACCCAGCCATCAGATTTACCATGGAAGTCGAAATAGATGGCAAGATACCTTTTTTGGATGTCCTAATTAAAAAGAGACCTGATGGTTCAATGAGCCACTCTGTCTACAGGAAAGCTACCCATACGGATGCTTATCTGAAACCGGATTCCCACCACCATCCATCACAGAAGAATTCTCTCATCAAGACTCTGTATCATAGAGCCCAATGCATATCCGACCAGGAACACATAAGCAGTGAACTCAAGCACGTACACCAAGCTCTTAGGGCTAATGGTTACTCCGACTATACAATCCGCAAAGCTATCACTCAAACCATGAAGAAGAACCCTCTTGAGGAGCCTTTCAAAACCATCACTTTACCCTACATTGCTGGGATCACAAAAAAGATCTCCAAAATCTTGAATAAACACAAGATCCAGGTCCGTTTCAACACATTACATAAAATCCGTGATCTGGTTCCGTCTGTAAAAGATGTGATTCCGGACATACAATACCCTGGTGTCTACAAACTAAGTTGCCTCTGTGGTAGTAGTTACATTGGAGAAACCAAACGCCATATCTCGGACCGCATTCGTGAACATAAAGCAGACCTTAAACACGGTAGGACCAACACCTCGGCCGTAGCAGATCATTGTTCTAATTCAGTAGGCTCACATGCCATTGACTTTTCCAAGACGGAGGTTCTTTGTAAGCCATCTGGCTTCCATGAGAGATTCGTTCATGAGGCTATCCACATATACAAACACAGAGACAATTTCAACCGAGAAGATGGATTCTATCTTAGCAATCATTGGAAAGATTTGATAAATCATTTCAGTTCTTGATTGATTGTTCACGCTTACAGTGCCTTTCAGACAGCATACATAAAAACAAATTTCGTCTCCCCCCTCCTCTTTTCAAAAAAAATAGATGGACTAGTCCTGGCAAACTGCCATCGTTGCGCGTGACGCAAACGTTATTTTTATATATATAAATAAATATGCCGTTTTCAAACTAAATTTATGCAAACCGACACACCTGATGATGACCGTTTGAGTTATGGTCGAAACGTCGTGAGAATTTTTATTGTTTTATATATATTTTGTTATTTTGTTGTTTCTCTTCAACGTGACTTTACCGAAAAAACTAAGAATATGAATTACTGCAGTCACGAAAGCTTTAAATCAAAATTTAGGTTCATCTCTGTAAACCCGTCGACTCGGCAGAAGAAATTGTTTTAGTTACAGATTGGTTTCGAGCTTCAGACACACCTTGCCGTATTGGGTGAATGTGCATAGGGAAATATATATAGCATGTTAAATCAGGAAATAATCGTTCAGATGTCAAAGTGATTTTTTTTTACTCATTGTTTAATTAAAATGTTGTCTGTGTTTATCCAATCCAGATGAACTTGTTTTGATGTGAATGCTGAGGCGAAACAACAGTTTTTAAAGTGTTATATTATGAACTTAAAATTGACTTTCCTCAACCTTAAACGTAAATAACATAGTTTCTCTCCGTTAAAATCAATATCTGACGTAATCTAATTGAAATACACGGTGTTTCCATGCTCACCTTTGCTGTTCCCTGGGTCTGTAGCCTTGTCTTTGTGTGGCACAACCAGGATTGATTTTACACAAGGCGGTATGCATTTTAACTACCCCGGCGGAGTGATGGGTGAATGACGTTTGAGATTTGAACCATTGAGTATGGCCACTGGTACACAAACCCACTCACAATATTTACCATCGTACTTTGATATGTAGAGATTGTTTTAAAAGTAACCCTCATAATGCTACCTCTGAAATTATTAAAAAGGTGTCTGGATATTTCTGTTCAATCAGATTACCGTCACCACTGGAGTGAGGTTCTATTGTTATATTTGTTTGTTAGTTTTTATATATACTATGATTGAAGCATGTATGCATAACCGAAGGGACCTTTTGTAATAAGTGTTTTTTATTTTGAACATTGCATTTTCAAATGGTTGAATGTGTATTTTAAACTTTAACATTAAACATTCATCACCATTTCTGCAAACAGCATGATACGTGTTTTAATTGTACATTTTTACAAACGAGTCACTAAAACACGAAGGGCCCAATGCTTTACTGTCGCTTCCGCGTACAGAACCCATATACACGAGAATTTATTTGACTCGTGACATATCGATATCCTTAGATAAAAAAACACATTTGTCCTTTAAAGGGCGAGCATTGTCCAATCCGAAAATAATAAATAATAATAATAATAGCTCTTGGGACGAATTCCCGGCGGAGTGAAAGCACAAATATATACGCATCATTAGGGCAATGACCGTCACTGATAAAGCAACAAGCGACCAGCTTTGCTCATGTCCTGGGGGAAGATTGATCGAGGGTGTTCACCAAATCAATTACAAGGTCATCTGTCTGTCACCTCCATGTGGTGAGAGACCGCTGCGCCTGTAGATGATTAAGTACCGAGTCACGTGAACTGGTGGAGCCCGCTGAGTCCCGCCACTGTTGATGCGGCCAAGGCGGACAACAAACAGCGGCCGCCATTCGCCACTGCGTGGCGGTGACGTGACCACGGCGCTTGTGCCAGGCTAGGTGCACCTTGAGGTCACGTGAAGTGTCGAAGGCTCGTTTGCACGCAAACGCATGCGCATCAAACGCAAAGACGACTCCCACTTGAAGGCACGTCACAAGCAGACGCGACGTCTCGTGCTCCTCGCATGGACGCGGCTGACGCACACGGGGACTTGGGCCCTCCGTGCCACCACAGCGCTGCAGCACACAGGCACAATGTGTACCGTCTGGCGCGCTCTCTCCAGTGCCGAGCGACAAGGCTCACAGGACGGCGTCCCACGGCTTGCCAGCTCCGTGATGAATGGTCACGTCCCCGAGAATCAGCCGATGTGAAGTACGCGATGTGTGAAGATCGATTGGTTAATTGGCATGAGTCACTCGGCTTCTTGCTTCGCCGGCCGTGGTTTGCGCGACTGGGAAGATGACACGATGGGGAAACAGCAGCCCGGCTCCGACTGTTGATCAGCACCGTGCACACGCGCGCATTGTGCTGAGCGAATCGAAACCTCGCAGAACTGAGCAGAGATAATTGGCGCGTGGACTCTGTGAAGGGGAGAAAACGAGCGGAGAGATCCGTCCGTGTCGCAGGGGAACGAGGCGACTCGCCGCGGGGGAACTGGGGAGGCTTGGTCTGCCCGGGAGTTCGAGGATTGAAGAGTAATTCGGGGAGAGTTGGCAGCCACTCTCGTTCGCAATTTCTGGCAACACATCCCGTGCAAAGCTTCGTCATGTTGAGGCGTGTATAGTCGCCTGCTGCTGCCGCTCCTCCTTATCGATCAGGACTGTAATTGGGAGCCCACCATACCCATCATCAACAAGGCACGTGCCCATCGACTTTCTGTGGTGTTTCTGATGGATGGAGACGTGGTGTCCGACTTTCACATTTATGCATTCACGCTGTGATTCATTATTGAGCAGAAGGATATAATTGCCTCGGGCTTACTAACAAAGCCCCGGGAACAGCAAACACAACGATTATTTGTCATGCACGTTTAGAATGCCACCGTGGTTCGTCGCCGTTTTCACATTAGAACTCGACTGCTCCGGCGCTTTGAGGTTTTCTCAACGGCAATAATTGCGTGCAATGAGAACTCCGTGGCGCAGTGGTTTACCCCACCACGCTACGAAGAGGACCCTGGGTTCGATTCCCCGCCGTGGAGAACATCGAGCGGTGGTGTCCGAGACTTCCTCGCGGTCTTCCCTTGTCACGAATGCAAGACGCGAGTCTCCGCTGTGCAGGGCGCGTGCAGCAGCGTCTTGAGACGCAGCGCCACCCATCAATGTGCATGCACCTACAGCGTGCACATAATACACGTTTTGGGGTTAGATCGAGTACATTAATGTAAATGTACACGCACATGTACGCGATCTATGTAAATTTACATGTAATTTTACGCGATCTAACCCCAAAAAAAACGTGTATTATGGATGATATTGGTCGCTTAAGCCTACGTGTTAAACTAATCGTGAACACCCGCACTGGGGACACAAAGGCGGTCGGTCGCGCGTGGTAGCGGCCACAGCCCCGCACATGACCTTAATAGAGGCTCGCTAACAGCACCCATCGCCCCGATAGTGACGTGTGTGTGGTGTGTGACGAGAGCTATCACCGCTTGGCTCTGACGCGCTAATGCACGAGGAAGCTTGGGCGAGCGTGGAAACAGCGGCGGCGGCGGCGCAGTAAAGAGTCGATGCATAATGCATGATTTGCTGCCGGCTCCTAACGGCGTTGCGTATTGCGGTAAGCACACGGTGGGCTTACAAATGCTTAATTGCGTGATAAACACAATGCGGCACTGACTGGTGCTGCTGCTGCTGGTGAAGGCGCCGAATGTAGCGGCGCGTCCGTGTTTACCCGAGGGGGTGCAGCTGCGGGATGAAGACGCAGTGCGTCGAACACACGCGGCCACCCCGGCTCGATCCTCGCCGCTGGCATCGCTCAAGGGCAACGGTAAAGGTGCAGCCCCGCAAGTGCGAGCTCGTGCCACTGCTGGCAGAAGACCCGAGGCGGGAGGGCGCTCTAGAGAGCGACTTCTCTCCGGCGTGTAACCTATTCCAAGCGGTCCCGGACGTCTCGGATTACGTGGGAGTAACCCAGCACTTTAGCACACCTCACGCGAACCGCCAATCGACTCTCTGTGCCGCGCCCGTGCGTACTGCTAATAGGTGGGCAGTGGCGGGTTTAAGAAACGCGTGGCCCCCATTGCTCCAGCTGCCTCGTCAGCAGATCGAACCGGCGATCTGTGGCTGACTTGCAAGTCCAACGCGGCAGCGGCAGCCCTGCTGCCACTGCAAGGCGCAAAAATCGCAGAGCGCGAATTGGGTAAGGGCGGCCTTGGGGATGGTGCCAAAGGCGCCTCCTTGTTTACACACGGGCAGGCAGAGTGCGGCATCCCTGCAGCGTGTGGGTGGGAATGTGGGGTTAATGAAATGTCTGCGAAAGGAATGGTGCCCGCAGTGCATTAATGTATTGGAGGCTATAAATACCCTGTCAGTTTCAGTTTATTTATTTTTCGTATAGCCCTGTGAGCCATTCGGCTCTTGAATCGGGTGCAACCACAACAAACAAAAAAACAAAAACACGAACGAGAAAAACATCTTAATGTGACTGTGCAAACAGAAAATCCATGAAAAAAAACACAGCAAAATATTCCTGAAAAAAGCACCGTACACCAACGCTGTGTGCAAAAAAATCCCAGTGGGATGCAAGTCAAATAACAACAACCACAAGAAAACTTAGATTAAGGCCATCAGTCTATCTCCGTACTACAACAAAACAAACATGTCTAAACCAAATTTTTTTTTCGAAATCACCAAAAAAAATAAAGCCGTAATTGCAACGTAACAGTGATCACAGGGACTGTGACCGAATGTGACTTTGGCCTCCCCCCGTAGGTCGACTCAGCCTCAAATGAGTACCTAGTTCAGTGTGTAAACATTGTCACTGGGGATACGAAAGCAGCCAGGCGTGGTGCTGGCCACTCATCCCCTCGTGTGCCATGCCGGCCTTCATAGGCGCTGCTCGTGAACAGCACTTGCCACAACAGCCTGTTAAGGTTACATGGGGAACCGTTGTCGTGTGTGTCCCAGAGTGCACGTGTGCCGTGTGTGTGTGTCCCAGAGTGCACGTGTGCCGTGTGTGTGTACGAGAGTGCACGTGTGCCGTGTGTGTGTGTCCCAGAGTGCACGTGTGCCGTGTGTGTGTGTCCCAGAGTGCACGTGTGCCGTGTGTGTGTCCCAGAGTGCACGTGTGCCGTGTGTGTGTCCCAGAGTGCACGCGTGCCGTGTGTGTCCCAGAGTGCACGTGTGCCGTGTGCCGTGTGTGTGTCCCAGAGTGCACGTGTACCGTGTGTGTGTCCCAGAGTGCACGTGTGCCGTGTGTGTGCAATTGTGGTGACTCATTGCCCCCCTTCTGAATAGAAGCTAGCATCAGGACTCAAGGTAAGTGAAAAAATAGTTTCTCTATTAATGTTACTTTATTTAACGTTTCATTTACTATACATATATTTTTTTACAGTGTTACATGCAAATGTACAATATTTCTTTTGAATTATGAGTTTAACAATGCTACCCTTAAATTTTGATTTAAAGCTTTCGTGACTGCAGTAATTCATATTCTTAGTTTTTTCGGTAAAGTCACGTTGAAGAGAAACAACAAAATAACAAAATATATATAAAACAATAAAAAATTCTCACGACGTTTCGACCATAACTCAAACGGTCATCATCAGGTGTGTTGGTTTGCATAAATTTATTTTTAAAACGGCACATTTATTTATTTATAAAAAACGTTGGCGTCACGCGCAGCGATTGGCAGTTTGCCCAGGACTAGTCCATCTATTTTTTTTTAAAAGAGGAGGGGGGAGACGAAATTTTTTTATAATGTATGCTGTCTGAAAGCCACTGTAAGCGTGAACAATCAATCAAGAACTGAAATGATTTATCAAATCTTTCCAATGATTGCTAAGATAGAATCCATCTTCTCGGTTGAAATTGTCTCTGTGCTTCTATATGTGGATAGCCTCATGAACGAATCTCTCATGGAAGCCAGAAGGCTTACAAAGAACCTCCGTCTTGGAAAAGTCAATGGCATGTGAGCCTACTGAATTAGAACAATGATCTGCTACGGCCGAGGTGTTGGTCCTACCGTGTTTAAGGTCTGCTTTATGTTCACGAATGCGGTCCGAGACATGGCGTTTGGTTTCTCCAATGTAACTACTACCACAGAGGCAACTTAGTTTGTAGACACCAGGGTATTGTATGTCCGGAATCACATCTTTTACAGACGGAACCAGATCACGGATTTTATGTAATGTGTTGAAACGGACCTGGATCTTGTGTTTATTCAAGATTTTGGAGATCTTTTTTGTGATCCCAGCAATGTAGGGTAAAGTGATGGTTTTGAAAGGCTCCTCAGGAGGGTTCTTCTTCATGGTTTGAGTGATAGCTTTGCGGATTGTATAGTCGGAGTAACCATTAGCCCTAAGAGCTTGGTGTACGTGCTTGAGTTCACTGTTTATGTGTTCCTGGTCGGATATGCATTGGGCACTATGATACAGAGTCTTGATGAGAGAATTCTTCTGTGATGGATGGTGGTGGGAATCCGATTTCAGATAAGCATCCGTATGGGTAGCTTTCCTGTAGACAGAGTGGCTCATTGAACCATCAGGTCTCTTTTTAATTAGGACATCCAAAAAAGGTATCTTGCCATCTATTTCGACTTCCATGGTAAATCTGATGGCTGGGTGTATGGAATTGATGTGGTCGAAGAATTGGTCTAGAGCAGGCCGGCCATGTGGCCAGATGACAAAAGTGTCATCCACGTACCTCTTCCATAAGGTTGGGCGCAGAGTGGCAGTCTGGATGGCGTCAGTCTCAAATTTCTCCATGAAAATGTTAGTTATAACTGGAGAAAGGGGGGAGCCCATTGGGGTGCCCTCAGTTTGTAGAAAGTTCCATTCCAAGTGAAGTATGTATTGGTTAAACAGTGTCTCACCAGAGGGGGTACCTCAGTGTTTAGTCCTTGATGAACCAAGTCTTCAATGACACTGACACTGTTTAACCAATACATACTTCACTTGGAATGGAACTTTCTACAAACAAACTGAGGGCACCCCAATGGGCTCCCCCCTTTCTCCAGTTATAGCTGGAGTGTGATTCCGGACATACAATACCCTGGTGTCTACAAACTAAGTTGCCTCTGTGGTAGTAGTTACATTGGAGAAACCAAACGCCATGTCTCGGACCGCATTCGTGAACATAAAGCAGACCTTAAACACGGTAGGACCAACACCTCGGCCGTAGCAGATCATTGTTCTAATTCAGTAGGCTCACATGCCATTGACTTTTCCAAGACGGAGGTTCTTTGTAAGCCTTCTGGCTTCCATGAGAGATTCGTTCATGAGGCTATCCACATATACAAGCACAGAGACAATTTCAACCGAGAAGATGGATTCTATCTTAGCAATCATTGGAAAGATTTGATAAATCATTTCAGTTCTTGATTGATTGTTCACGCTTACAGTGGCTTTCAGACAGCATACATTATAAAAAAATTTCGTCTCCCCCCTCCTCTTTTAAAAAAAAATAGATGGACTAGTCCTGGGCAAACTGCCAATCGCTGCGCGTGACGCCAACGTTTTTTTTATAAATAAATAAATGTGCCGTTTTAAAAATAAATTTATGCAAACCAACACACCTGATGATGACCGTTTAAGTTATGGTCGAAACGTCGTGAGAATTTTTTATTGTTTTATATATATTTTGTTATTTTGTTGTTTCTCTTCAACGTGACTTTACCGAAAAAACTAAGAATATAATGCTACCCTTTTTGTTGAACTGTAACACATTTCATAACACTGACCGTATGGGCATTAAAAAGAGTGCATTATTGTGTTCCAAATTACAAACCGTTTGACTTACGAACGGCTCTCAGGAACATATTAGGTTTCTAACCCGAGGACTGCCTGTACTTGCAAAAACACCCATTCCAGTAGACCAAGCCACTCTCGTACCGGTGCGCAATGTGCTTGAGGAAGGCCATAAGGTAGCGCAGCACCTGCACGCTGGAAGGTGGCAGCAGACAGGTGAGAAGCAGCGTGGCGTGCAATCGTGCCACTTCCTGCAGCTGCTGGGCGCGGTAGAAGACAGGAGCATTGACGCAGTTCCCAACTTTCACGGTCAGTCAGAAAATTAAAACGACATTGTCCTTCGATTTGAATCTTGGCAGAGCCACTGCCAATTACTTTACATTATCTGAAGTGCGCGCGCACGCATCACAGATCGCCAATCTAATTATGGGGCTCGACCAAGTCATACAATCGAGCATTCGCAGTACTGTAGGCGTATGTATGTTGGATTTCTTTCGCGCAGTACGTAGCCAAACGTGCTCGTCGGAGGTGCGAAATCGTGATGCGCTATCAGGTGCGTTGACTCCTTTGTGTGTGCATATCTACACCGCTAAACAATTGAAGATCCCTTGGGCGTGTGGTGCTGAATCGCACCCCGGGGGGGGGGGGGCACGGGAGTTTCCCCCAGTGGTTGAGAAAACGTGTTCGTGGTAATAGAAAAATGTTTTGCAGTGACCAACATTCATAGTCACAGCACCGTAACGGCACGCGCTCAATGAGAATCTGCGGAAAAGAATTCGCAAAAGAACACGAATAGAATGACGTCAGCATTAACCAACACGTACTTGCGGCAACATGCAAACACACATGCTCTGATGATAATATTTGCATTGTCTTACACAAGGTATCTATTTGGTGTTTGAACATCTTAACACAACTGTTTTATTGCCACAATGAGTAAAGCCCTATTCTTATTTTTCATCATTTTGGATGCTGGCAAAGAAATTCCCATAGATAAAATGACATCACACGAACGATGCTCTGTGACGACGAGTGGGAGGGGGGGTGAATACCAACGCCCTTGCACGGATGAATCATAATAACAATGATGATTAATAATAATGGTTAATGATTAATAATAATAGATGCTGAATAGTAATATAATAATGGATGATTACCAACGCCCTTGCACGGCTCTGGAGGTCGTGACGCGAGCGTGCAGACTCGGTCCAACTCGAGTGCTGGTGGATTGGACGTCATTTAGTCAGTCGATTTATAAAACGTTCGCTGCATCCTCGGAATAACTAAACGCGTGGCCGTGGTGAGAAACGCGGGTCCAGACAAACCCGCGGCCTGCCTCGCCACGAGACACATTGTACACCTTCGCCCCCATCCTATGTAAGTGAGCAGATACGTTGTCTGTCTGTTGCTATAGCCCCTAAGTCGGTGTTTCTGTCTCTTTTAAAGGAATCTGTCACCGGGGTCGCCGGGGTGATGGACAGCTGACGGGCAGAAGCCCCGTGCGCGTACGGGACACGAGTGATTGTGGAACAACCGTTCTCTCTATATATATTTCTCCACAAGCGCGGTGTATCCGCAACGTGGATAATCCGCAGACGAACAATGGAGAGTTACCTGCACACAGGAGGAGAGTTTTGTAAAAAAAACAGTCGACGAACTGGCGGGGATGCGATTCTCTTCAAGCACGCGGAGTCACTGGAGCTGTGAGGGCGCCCATCCCACGAGCAGACGGCCCGGTTCGAGTTCTGAAAGCACCGCGTCTGTCCGCTTGCAACTGCACTTCGGGTGCCTTGCAAGCGATATCGCTTTATTGCCGTTCGTTTCCCGGTCACACCCGCGGGCCTACCTTCAATCAACAACACTGACGATAGTGTGACGACACAGCGACAACATTGACAACAATATCACTTTCGATTTAAAGCTTTCGTGACTGCAAGGATTCATCTTCTTTGGTTCTTTCGGTAAAGTCACGTAGAATGAGAATAAAATAATAAATTGATGAAACAAAATAACACAATAAAAACGTCGTGAGAATTTAATTGTGTTATTTTATTTGATCAATTTATTATTTTATTCTCATTCTACGTGACTTTACGGAAAGAACCAAAGAAGAACAATATCACTTATCCCGCACCTACGTAAGAAAGAAGTTCAACATACATAGAGTACATACATCATCACCAACAACGAGTTGACACATCAACAGCAACGGCACCGTTTGGGAGATCCAGAGCGTGACGTTGCAAATGTAGATCTAGATACAGTGCGACTCCCATACATAAAAAAACACATAAAACATTCACTAATACGCTTGGGTCTTTCGGTCAAGTCACGTAAATAAAAAATGCGTCACTTTACCGAAAGACCCAAGAGTATTAATTACTGCAGTCACGGAAGCTATAAGTCAACATTCACTAACGATAACCGTCTCGCTCTCCGTTTACCTTGCTCACAATGGCCTTCATTTTAAATTAATAATAATAATGGAAAGCGTAATTATATTGGTCTCGTTGCAATACACATTTCATAGGAGGTTGTGTTCTGATTATTATGGGGAGGGGAATCAATGCGCACACCCTGCGGGTATCATTCCTCTGTGTTTTTTGCTCAAATCGGTGCTTTTCCTTTGAAACGGTTTTTGTTGTTGTTGCACAAATCGATAGGACGGGTAGGAATGATACGCTTTAGACCCCCGCCTAGGCGAGGTCCCATTTACACGTCCATGTGTTTTTTTTATGGAATACGTGAATTTAGGACGCAGTGAATGTGGAGAAATGTTTTTACTTTTGTAAAATATACTTGACGGCTCCTTTGACATTCATCCACTGAATGAAGGCCCTCTCAAAAACTGTTTTGTTTATGGGAATTGGGATTGCTTGACTATACTTCACCACGCTACTCAGTGTGGATTGGTGAAAGGTTAGGAGGTGGTGTTGCAGGAGCGCTTCAGATATCCAACGCCACTAACAACAGAAGCCGCAGCCGGCGTTAGACAATGGGACTCATCGCTAGCGCAGCGCGATCACCACTGTGCCGGAATTGTGTAAGTCAAGCAATGTGCCCCTGCCTCTCAGTGACAACCCACTGGCAGTCGTCACGATGTCGCGTTTGGATGCAGTCAACCACTGACTGCGGCGTCTGTCGTGGGATTGGGTGTCGCTGCGATGGTGTCCCTGGCGAATGTGGGCCCCGCTCAGCGCGACACGGACGGCGCGCGTGGCGTTAGGGGAGGCGGGTGGGCGCGCAGTGCGGCCCCGCGCCCGCTAGATGGAGACGGCACGCCGGCACCATCCCCGCAGGGCAAGAATATCCGCTGACGGTGCAAGCGTCGACCGAGTCTCACGCATGACAGCCTCTTGAATTAATTACCAAAGATTTATCCCAGCTAAGGCTTTTGTTCGCTGGCGTTACGTCATCTCACAGGAATATCTTCCCTTTCTCTCTGTGTGTGTGACTGCGCTAGCCCAGTTGCCGTCGCTCCGCCCCATACAATCGCCCAGACACGCGCACAGACACGCACATACACGCACAAGTACCCAGCAGTAAACACGCGCACACGGAGACACCACGGACACACACGGACGGCGTGCGGCGGTGGTGCGCGCCCCCCTGTCAGCGCGCATGCTCCGCGAGGTCATTCGCGTCTCCTCCTCGATTCGGGGGCGCCCGGGCGCTTCTGCAGCTGGGATCGCACCGCGCTGATTAGGATGACCGCTGGGCATTGGCACCACCACCACCACCACCCCCTGCACACCACCAGTGCCGCCGCCGCATTGCTGCTGCTGCTACTGCCCTCCCCGGGAACAACCACAACCACCACCATCGTCGCCGCCGCCTTTGAGCCGAGGCTGCTGCTGCTGGGACGGGCGCGGGGGCTGCGCACTGCGGTGGAGGAGGAGGCGGAGGAGGAGGCGGCGGAGGCGGCGGCACCTCCACCATGCCAGGAGGCACGCGGGGACTCGTGGCTCCGCAAAATACCTTCCTGGAGAACATCGTTCGCAGAGCTAATGGTACCGGACTACTCTCATTGTCTACCCTGATAGTACCAGACTACTGTCATTGTCTACCCTAATAGTACCAGACTACTATCATTGTCTACCCTAATAGTACCAGACTACTATCATTGTCTACCCTAATAGTACCAGACTACTCTCATTGTCTACCCTAATAGTACCAGACTACTGTCATTGTCTACCCTAATAGTACCAGACTACTCTCATTGTCTACCTTAATAGTACCAGACTACTATCATTGTCTACCCTAATAGTACCAGACTACTATCATTGTCTACCCTAATAGTACCGGACTACTGTCATTGTCTACCCTAATAGTACCAGACAACTGTCATTGTCTACCCTAATAGTACCAGACAACTGTCATTGTCTACCCTAATAATACCAGACTACTCTCATTGTCTACCCTAATAGTACCAGACTACTGTCATTGTCTACCCTAATAGTACCAGACTACTCTCATTGTCTACCCTAATAGTACCAGACTACTCTCATTGTCTACCCTAATAGTACCAGACTACTCTCATTGTCTACCCTAATAGTACCAGACTACTGTCATTGTCTACCCTAATGGTACCAGACTACTCTCATTGTCTACCCTAATAGTACCAGATTACTGTCATTGTCTACCCTAATAGTACCAGATTACTGTGATTGTCTACCCTAATAGTACCAGACTACTATCATTGTCTACCCTAACAGTACCGGAATATTGTGATTGTCTACCCTAACAGTACCAGACTACTATCATTGTCTACCCTAATGGTACCAGACTACTCTCATTGTCTACCCTAATAGTACCAGATTACTGTCATTGTCTACCCTAATAGTACCAGACAACTGTCATTGTCTACCCTAATAGTACCAGACAACTGTCATTGTCTACCCTAATAATACCAGACTACTCTCATTGTCTACCCTAATAGTACCAGACTACTGTCATTGTCTACCCTAATAGTACCAGACTACTCTCATTGTCTACCCTAATAGTACCAGACTACTCTCATTGTCTACCCTAATAGTACCAGACTACTCTCATTGTCTACCCTAATAGTACCAGACTACTGTCATTGTCTACCCTAATGGTACCAGACTACTCTCATTGTCTACCCTAATAGTACCAGATTACTGTCATTGTCTACCCTAATAGTACCAGATTACTGTGATTGTCTACCCTAATAGTACCAGACTACTATCATTGTCTACCCTAACAGTACCGGAATATTGTGATTGTCTACCCTAACAGTACCAGACTACTCTCATTGTCTACCCTAATAGTACCAGACTACTCTCATTGTCTACCCTAATAGTACCAGATTACTGTCATTGTCTACCCTAATAGTACCAGACTACTCTCATTGTCTACCCTAATAGTACCAGACTACTGTCATTGTCTACCCTAATAGTACCAGACTACTCTCATTGTCTACCCTAATAGTACCAGACTACTCTCATTGTCTACCCTAATAGTACCAGACTACTCTCATTGTCTACCCTAATAGTACCAGACTACTCTCATTGTCTACCCTAATAGTACCAGACTACTGTCATTGTCTACCCTAATGGTACCAGACTACTCTCATTGTCTACCCTAATAGTACCAGACTACTCTCATTGTCTACCCTAATAGTACCAGACTACTGTCATTGTCTACCCTAATAGTACCAGACTACTCTCATTGTCTACCCTAATAGTACCAGACTACTCTCATTGTCTACCCTAATAGTACCAGACTACTCTCATTGTCTACCCTAATAGTACCAGACTACTCTCATTGTCTACCCTAATAGTACCAGACTACTCTCATTGTCTACCCTAACAGTACCAGACTACTCTCATTGTCTACCCTAACAGTACCAGACTACTCTCATTGTCTACCCTAATAGTACCAGATTACTCTCATTGTCTACCCTAATAGTACCAGACTACTATCATTGTCTACCCTAACAGTACCAGACTACTCTCATTGTCTACCCTAATAGTACCAGATTACTGTCATTGTATACTCTAATAGTACCAAATTACTGGCATTGTCTACCCTAATAGTACCAGACTACTATCATTGTCTACCCTAACAGTACCGGAATATTGTGATTGTATTCTCAGAGTACGCCCCCCCTCCCCCACCGTCTCTACCTCTACCGACCCAACCGGCCCAACCACCGCCACGAAATGCAAATTGTTAATTTTATATTTCACATTTTATTTATTAGCTTGTATCCATAGCCGTGCATAGACTTTGAGCGTGAAGTGCGTATCATCTCGTTTCAAGGCAAATATTGCGGTGTGATCGGTGACCGAGTTGGAGTCCTGTAATCAGCCTGGCTTCACCAACCCGTACTAACCGGCGTGGTGAAGTATGGTCAAATAACCCCCCCCCCCCCACCATGACCCAACTCTGCGGTGACGATGCCCTCATCCAGCAGTGGAGAGCCACCGGGGCTGTGAACGACGCATGCATCACTCACTGCGCCGCTCACTGCGGTGTCTCTGCTACTGCTGCTGCTGTGTGATGTCACGGTTAGGGGTGGTGGGAGATTCCGTGCGTTGAGCTGAGCTCGACACGAGAACAATCACAGCACGCGCGCTCCTGCGTGTGAGGCGTCCCCCCGAAACGTCCAAATGCGTCTGCGCGCGGTGCACGTGACGCGTGCGTGCCGGTGATAAGGGTCGCGTGAATGGTTTCCCTTCGGTAGTTAAGAACCCGATACACGCGCGCGCCCACCGACAACAATCCGCCCAGCGTACGCTGTCGGCGCGGTAGTCGGTACACAACTACCCCGACGTCGGACCGTACAGGGGGTGAAAGAGGCAGGCTCTGCGAGCTTGGTGACGGTAACGCCACTCTCCCCGCGGCGCTGCGGCCGACCGTGTCGATGATGACTCGTGAAGCGACGCGAGCGCACCTCAAGGCGAGGAGGCAACGAGCACGGAGGAGCGACGTCTGCGGGTGGTCACCTCCACAGCATGCGCACGGATGGCCGTGCAAGCAGAAGCACGTGGATGCGCAGCCCTGCGCTGATAGAGCGAGTCACGTCGCTCGTAGGGTGTTGTTCGCGGTCCCGGAATTTGGACGGGGTGCTCTCGCCACGATTATTACTTCTGATGAACCAGCGGCATTCGTTGATTTGACCCAGGAGGCCGAAACCGGTCCTGAGTTGTCTCGCTTAAACAGGCGCTGTGTGAGCGTATTGGTCCAGAAAGCCAATACTGTAGTCTGATGGACTTAGAACAATATTTTGTCTTCATATGTGCAGACACAGAGCAGAATGCTGCTTATTTGTGCTACCAATATCTAATTGGTCTTCTTACATCTTCTTACGTCTCCTTGTTACATGGAGTGCATTCATTGTACTGAATGATGTAAGCAGGGCTTAATTCCCCACTGAATGTTTCCCTAGTGGCTGGTCGATCTGGACTAGGGCGTGCGACTGGTAGCCCACATTCATAGAGGGAGCGATGCTGCTGCAAGTGAAGCACCGAGTGAGGGGACCTTGTCCAGGTCACCCACCTCAACAGACCCGGATGAAATGAATCTCTGGACGCGAGTGTTGGGCCGCGTGGTGTCGTGAAGACCTGTTTGAGTGTGGACGTGCCGTCAAGGGGAATCGTGCATTCAGTGGGGATCAGCATCTGCTTGGCGTTGTTGCGACGCTGGCTTGGCAGTGGTGCGTCAGCACGCAGCACAACAACCTGATGCGTGCATCAAACTGATGCCTGCTGTTTTGAAAAAATCCCGTTGCTGGAAACATCACCTGTTTTATATCGACATATATACTGCATGCATGTTGTTGTTGTTGCTGTCAGGGGTCGGCAACCTGCGGCTCGTTAAGGAGCCCTTCGTGACGTCGTTTATTAAGGCTCACAATCATTGCGGCTCTTGACATATTGAGGTGTTTTTTTGCCAAAATAAAAAAAAGATGCCTCTTGTTATTTCGTTTGCCGACCCCTTGGGCTCGGGGCAGTGACGACGCGAACTCTCCTCAAAGCCTCATGGAGCACGCCACGCGTTACACAGCCCTGTTGTGATCATCGCTGTCGCCATCACATGAAGTTGCGTCACTCTCATCGCGCAGACCACCGTGGTGGCGAAGATGGGAGAGAGCAATCCGTTACGTGCGCACACCTGAACGTGTCGGCTGCTGTTGAGAACCCCCACTAGGACTAGCTCCCTCTTGCGTGGCTACTCAAGTTGTTGTGGGGTGCTTACAGCCTGGGGTGGGCAGCTGCCCAAAGGCCAATGGAGATTTGTGAGGCGCTATTTGGGTTCATGGCATGATCCCTTGACTCTGTGAGAAGTCTCCACCCGAAGTAATGACGAATATAAGCATAATCTCCCTTGTGTATCTACACATATAAATAACGTGTTTTTTTTAATTGCATCAGCATATTTGCATCCCAGACCAATACAGTATTGCCCAGCAAGCGTGTGTTTAGCCAAACAAAAATCTGGGCCGGTTTTGACCATCGAGGTCTCATCAGCAGAAGCAGGCTTGTCTAACGAATGCCGCTGGATAATTATCACAAATTAGTGGCAAGAGCACTCCGTCTAAAAAAAAAAACGCACCGTGGTGTACAAACTCACAGTGCGTTGTTGCTGAGCGTCATGGGTCACAGCGGGTTGTGTCATCATAGCCTCAAAGCACCATCGCCATGAACTTACACTCCAAAACACCGACACCACACCGTTATCAACGCGGTACCCCGGACTATTAAGAGGCATTAATTAAATGGTAGTTGTCGTCACGTAATCACGTGTACAATGTGTACACGCAATCACGTGTACAATGTGTACACGTGATTAACACTGCACCAGTATTTTGTCCGTCAGCGATGCTCCGCGTGGCTGTTGGATGACCCGACTTTTAAATTCCGATGCGAGGCTCGGGATGCGCTCCACGGGGTCACTGGGGTCACGAGGAGCCGTGGACGCGCACTGCACGCGACCTCTTGGCCTCTGTAGCCGCTGTAATGAAAACTCGGGAATAGCGTCGGCGTGGAGCGGCAGCGATAGCGGCGTTCTTCCTCCTGTGCTACTCTCGATTCCCAATTGCCCCGTTGCTCTACCGTACACGCGAGGTTATTTTTTTTACCTTTTGTCATTTTTTTGTGACCCACCCCTAGGTCACTCGTGTAAATGAGACTGTCCTGGTCTCTTGAATTCGCACCTGCCTACACAAAATAAACTTGAAATTTGAAACGTGTGAAAATTACATATCTACAATATTTGCAAAAACACGGGTTTGGGATGATTTAGCACGCAATAGAACACCACGATTGTTAATGACGGCTTACTTAAAACAAATGTATTACATTATTATACTCCAATAAAGTTAATGACCTTCATTGTAAATCCTCATTGAGTCTTTAAGGCCCTTTTTCAGGTGGCTCCTCTATTGAGACGTTTGGCGAATTCGATAAATGGGTGGGAGGGATTAACAGAGCCCTGGAGAGAACCCGCGCATCGTGGGGCGGGAAGATGAACACTCAACACTCCAAACGGATAGATTCAATCGACGAGCCAAAACTCAATCAAGTTATTGGACCTAATTTGTCTGTGGACTGCACTCACTGCTGTACTGGCACCTCCTGGCAGTAATAAATTTGTCCTGCTCGCAATTTGAAAGAATTGTCACGATTCGGGATCACAATTTAATTCCATACTTTGTGTTACATTGTGTTACATTGTGTTACATTGTGGTGAACACGTCTCGCATCGTAGCTGCAGGGGCCATGTGAATGACCAATCGCATACAGCATAACCAGCGGATCATTCACAGGTAATCCGCCCCTGGATGCAGACCGAGCCACGTCGTCTCATGTTTGACCATACTTCACCTGGCTGGCCCCAATGAGCTCATGGTTTCCAGCCATCTGCGATCAAACCGGCTTCTCGCGTCGATGATCTCTGCCCGGTCACCACTGACTGCGCAAATTAACAATCAGAATACAATTTGGTTCCGTCCTTAATGTGTTTAAGTTCCAGCCGTGATGCTTTACTAATATTGGTTTAACTGTCATGCAACAAACATGGCTCTCATTTGCCAGGGTGGGTGGGAAAGGGCTGCTCCCGACTGAGTGAGCTCGAGGTCACCCAAGTAGCTTCCGTGATAATTCGCTTCAGTGGGTCACTGTCTAACGTGTCAAATTTGCACTGCTTGTGAGAGAGATCTGAGTGAATCTTTCTTCTCGTGCCATGACACTGATAGCACAATCAGGGAAACTCCCAGCGAGGCCATCTTATTGGTCTGTCAGGCTATCAACTGTGAATACGTTCCCTAAATTGGAACGTCAGCCCTTGTGCGCGATGGAAAGAGGATTACATTGAAATGCATTTGTTTTCGGTCAGGAGAGGACACATTAGCCTTGCCAATTTCTCTATTTTGAACAGCATCTTGAGATGCGTTTGCATTTAAATGCTCTATGACACCAAATAGGCAAACCGTGATTTGCTGCTCCAATGAGCGCCGAGGAAAGTGTCCATCTCCAGCTCACAGCCCTGAGTCACGACGCGAATATTTGAACCCTGAACCCTTCCATCACGACCTGCTCGCTCTGCCCCTGAGAGCCACAATGACAATTGCTAAATAAGGTAGCAATTTTATCCTAGATTGAAAACAAATTTTCAAGATTTAAAAACGAATTTCTTTCGAGCTGCTTTTTGTGTTTTGTTTGTTGTTCCCCCTCCACGCACCTACGATTAGCACGGTTGGCTATGTACGGTGCAGAAAAAGTTCAACGTGCGTACATACATATGATGTACGTACATATTCGTCTGATTTGAAACTGTACATTCACTGCTTGGTGAGGACTTCCCCACGCCACGCAGGTCACGCAAGGGTCATTGACCATACTTCACCAAACTGGTCAGTGAGAGTTTGTGAAGGCAGGGGAGCTCATAAATACAGCACAAAAATTTATTTTCAGCCCCATGGAAAGGCTGTGTTGGGCATGCTGCCCACTCATCCGAGCATTATCTAGGCTCAAGCCTGCTTAGTTTGCGAGATTTGATGAGATCGGGTGCATTTCTGGTGACTTGGGTCATATGTGATTGGACGATAAATCTCGCACATTAGGAGGCTGTGTATGAGCCGTATATATATACTTTGTACTTATATGCTTTATTATTTATTTGTAGCGACTTGCTTACCTTTCCGATACTTTCCACTTCTATCGGTTTTTGCTTTGTTGTTGTAACTTTTTGAGCCGCCCCTGCTGGACATCTGTGAACAAAGCGCTTCGTAGCCTCACCGGATTCCTCCTCCTGCAGTCGAAATGGAGGGCTGGACCGTGAGAGTGGCCACTCTGGCCAGGAGAAATGAGAAACGATGCCCTGCCTTCATCGAAACATTACAATCGGAGCGATGTTCCCCGTCTCGGCATTGCGCGACGTCGGTCCGGGCTGCCACGAGGCCACGGGGAACGCTCGATGCGAGCGTCGCTCTCGCCGCACAACGCGCGAAGCTTCAGAATTTCCTGAAAGCAAATTCAGCTGAGCGTGCCCCCGAACTCGCCATTCAACGTTTCGGAGCTTCTGTCGTCGTGAAACTCTACGCTTAAGTTCGACTCGTACTTCTGCCTCGGGCAGAATGACTTTTCACAAAGGCGGAGAGTTTCCAGGCTAGCGAGTGCTGCATATTGGGCTCATTGTTAATTGTGCTTGTACACCACTGCCAATGCAGCAGCACTAACTAATGTATCTGTGTGTGTGTGTGTGGATATAGATAAGGTCAACTCAGCCCCAAATGAGTACCTGGTGCAGTGTGTAAACATCGCAACTAGGGAGACAAAGGCGGCCGGGCGTAGTGCTGGCCACCCACCCCCTCGTGCGCCGTGCCGGCCTTCATACGTGCTCGCTCACAGCACTTGCCCCAAAAGTCTGTTAAGGCTATACGGGATGGTCTTTGTCTGTATATATAAGATACCCAGCTGAATATATAGAAGTTAAAGAAAGTGGTGTTATCTAGAAATCACTTGTGTCACACGACAGACAGAACACGTGCTTCGCAGAAATCACCGATTCTCTTTTTTTCTTTCCCCTTCCCTGCACACGCACACACGCACGCATGCACACACGCACACACACGCACACACACGCACGCACACGCACGCACGCGCACGCACGCACGCACGTGCACGCACATACACACGCACGCACGCACACACACGCACATGCACGCACACACACGCACGCACGCGCACGCACGCACGCACGTGCACGCACATACACACGCACGCACGCACACACACGCACATGCACGCACACACACGCACACACACGCACGAACATCACCACGTACATTCACTCACCCGTACACCATACACGCTCGTGCACACGAACGCTCAAACACACCCCGCGTGCGTGCATCCGCAAACTCTCCGCTCACGTCGCCCGCGCGGCGCACCCCGTCCCCAACACGCCGGTGCATTGCAATCCACTCCGCAGATACAAATTTCTTGCTGGGCAATGCGCAGATATTGGACTGGCCCATCGTCTACAGCAACGACGGATTCTGCAAACTCTCGGGTTACCACCGCGCCGAGGTCATGCAGAAGAGCAGCACGTGTAGGTACGCTCGCAGTTACCTCCACGCGTCTACAGCTGCTACTCACCTGCGCGTACCTCGCCTGCGCGTACCTTGAACTGCTCACCTGCGCGTAGCTCACAGCAAGGCGCGCACAAGCTCGACTCGGGTCCCAGGAGGATTTAGAAGCTGCCCACGTTGCAAGGGGAGGGCGAGGGGAAGGCGAGGGGCTGGTCATTATATGTCACGCTTTTTAAATTAGCGTGGCGAGGTGTTAACTACCTGGCGTGTGGGTTCGATCCCGACCCGTGGTCGCGTGGATTTTTCTCCGGGTCCTCCGGGTTATTCGCTACACATTTAGAAACGTGCGGTTGTAGTATTTGGCTGCTATGCATTTCCACGTGATAATGAGCCACTTCGTTGAGCTATCATTTGTGGCCAGCTCGCTTCTGAAAGAGAGCTGTATAGCTCAGTGGGCCTTACCCGGTAAAAAAAAAATAGTTCAGTTAAATAAAAATAAAATACCATTGGTACTTGACTGGGTTCAGACGACGTTGCCCGATGTATCCGACGGTGAATTACCGCAAGGTCGTGCTGAATGCATTTGACGTCTCTCGTAACTTGACAAGATTGTGGGACGGACAGTGAACGCACTCGAGTGAGGGGCACGGCACGGGGACGGGGGGAGACGCCGGCGCTGGGGCACCCCACAGGTGGCAGCCCCGAATCTGCAGAAGCCCGGCGCGGCGTCTCACCACCGTGTCCGTGACCAGCGAGTGACCCACGCAGGCACGGCCAGCGCGAGTCCCACCCCCACTCCCACTCCCCGTGGCCCGGCACACAGCCCCCAGGGCCCTGCCGTACGCCCTCGGCCGCCCCTAAGGGCTTTTCTTGAGTGGCAAATCGATCGCGTCGTCTCCGTCTACTTGAATGACGCCGCGCGACCCCCGCCCCCTCGTTGACGACGAGACGGTGCGGCTTGAGTCTCCCGGTGCCCGCGGCGGCGGCGGCGGCTGTGACAGCAGCGTGCGTGACAGTCGGCGTCCACCGGCTGGCGAGGAGGCTTGCAGTGCGCGGGTCAATGTTGGATTTTGCATCCTGCTTTGCGCTTTTTCTTCGACAATTCAACTCAGTATCTTAATGCAGCTGTTTTAAATCCACACGTCCGTGGGAACACTGCACGCACGTGACGGCAGCTTGAAGAGCGTGTGGACCTGACGATGTTTAGCTGCAGCGTGACGCCATGGGCCACGGACAAATCACACGACCAAGAAGACGACGACGATGATGATGATGATCGTTTTTGTCGGAGTGAATATATTCACCCCTCTACGAGCACACAGAATGCACCCAATCCGGTTACACCTCGTAACATAAACTGGGTTGAGCCTGGATAGTGCTCGGATGGGCGGCCACCTTGCTCAAAAGAGAGGCACAGAAGGCACGTTGTGGACAGTAGAGGGGAGAATGCGGTAATATCCATCGCTGGTCTCCGCCACATTAACCAAACCGGACTGTCCAGCGTGGTGAGTTATGGTCAAATGCCCCACTCGCTCTGCTCGTCGTGAAGAGCCCTCGTCCAGCAGTGGGTTAAAGTGGGCGGTAGATGTCCGTGCACTCGGCATGTCCGTGCACTCGGCGCGTCCGTTGCCTTTATGCCGCTTGTCAGCCCAGAGGAGCACCCGACCCTGTGGTGGAGTCGGGTGCAGAGATGACCGGAGCCGCTGCGTAAAGCCCCGGGCCTCTTAGGGTCAAAGGGCCACGGCGATGTCAGCAGCGCTTCCCGTTGTGATGGCGCTTTGATGCCGCACATGGGAAGGAGCAGAATGCTTCGTCGATGTGGAAAGGGATTCCGCTCAGTAAATCAAATTCGGCGTTCGGTGAACAGTTTCTTCCCTGTGACGATAACACATTTTGTGGATACTTCCAAGTGTCTGGAAGTCTCAAGTCACTAAAGCTCATGTAAGGACTCGTGCACATCCGTGTGGGCAATTGAACATGTAGCGATTCCATTCGACGGGTGTCCTTGGTCAATAATTTTTCATATTTTTTGTTCATTTATCCCAATAATCACACCGTGAAGCTACACGTCAGTGTACTGCAGTGCCAATGGCCCATCTTAAGTCACTTAACACCCAAAGTGTAAATTATATTATTATGCATGGTGGCAGCAGCAGTTCGAGAATGTTCAGGAGCTCGATGGCAATGTTGAGGCCTGCTGGCAACGAGAGGGCTTCAGGAGGGAGAGTTTGTGGAGCTTTGCTGTTCCTCCATTGAAGGAACGCAGACCACAGTGGTTCACCATATGGTCCACGGTGTGGGTAAACAAATAGTCAGAATGGCCGGATAGAAGTTGTAGAACAATCTGTATACCTGTGGAGTAATGCACGTGAATAAATATTGGGGTGGATTTTTACATGGATTACGTAACCACTTTGGAAGATTATAGTGGTTATCATTTCTATGGGATATGGGTGTTTGAGATAGCAGTAATGTCTGTGCTACTATATGGATTAGAGAAGCTAAATTTCTATAGATATATAATCTGTACAACATGGAGGATATTGGTAATTAGGATATTGGTAATTTCTCAGCAGGATGCGTGAGCAAGTTGTAAGTTCTGAATGGAAAGTGATGCAAAAGAGCTCTAGACGCCAGCATTGGGCAGGTGACGAGACAGCCCTTGAAGTGGCCTCAATGGAGGTTTTCATCCGGATCTAAAGCCAGAGTGCGGATTTTGCAAGGATGTTGGAATGTGCAATCGGGAGTGGAGGCGAGAATTGTGAGGGCATCAACTATCATTGACTATGTTGCCCCCTTTGCCATGAGTTCTATCTCCGATGAAGATGCACGGGAGACATAAGCTGATTGGGCAGCTGGGTGTGAGTGTGACTATCCAACTGTCGGCGATGGCACCCGCGTTCGTTATTAATATTGTTGACAGGGAATCTTCGATTCTTCGACATCACTCAGACTCACACCGACCACGCGTTCGTTATTAATATTGACAGGGAATCTTCGATTATTCGACATCACTCAGACTCACACCGACCACAGACGTCGTGGAACCAAATTGTTGTTAGAGTGACGTTTCAATCTCTCTGTAAACACCTAGAGTCGGTAATTGATAGGAAGATCTGTGGATCCGATGGATTTCTCAGATAAAGATTTTTAATAATTGGATGCTGTGCATTTTTATGAAGCGCATCTGTGTCCTGGCAGCTTTATGTACGGGGACCTCACCGACAAGGAGACGATGGAGAAGGTGAAGCAGACGTTTGAAAACTATGAGTCCTGCTCCTTTGAGATCCTCATGTACAAGAAGAACCGTGAGTACTGTCTCCACACTCAGCACCACGATGAGTGAGCTCTCCACACTTTTGTCTCGTTTATGTTTGGTCTTTGCCCCAATGTTTTTTGTTTTTTACAAAAGTGCTAACGGTATCATGGCATGAGATGAAGTATCCCAGTGGATATTTCATAGAGCAGTGCATCATTTGGTGTCAGAAAACAGCCCACGGAAGCAGATACTCCATCTGATATCGCTTAAAGTAAATTCTGTCCACCCAGTACTGGGGAACACTTTCTCACCTTCCCTTCGACACTCAAATCGATATTTAGACAAACTAAAGACAGAACCACATTTAATGGGATAGTTTTTTTTTTCTTTTCTGGCAGTCATTGGTGGCTTGGCTAAGACCATCAACTTAGGATGCTCGTTGGCTGCCTGGATTCAAATCCAGGACGTCGGTGATGCCTGCTTGGCCCTCTGACCTCTGACCTTCCTGGCCACCTCTCGAGCATCGCTCTGGAGTTGTTCGGATTTTTTGTCATCAACCCTAAATTGCAAGGAAAACGCACATTCAGGCTTGAATGTTCTCATCGTATTTGACCGAGTGCAGCTGTCACCCGGTGAGAATCGAGACTCCCACGGAGCCAAGGGGAGCCTTCATTCTCTTTCACTCGCCCCTCGTTCTCATATCGCCCGTGTTAGCGTTCGCTCCACCGCAACGCCTCGCATTACGCACGTGACGCCTCGGCTGTGAGCACTCAGAGGCTGCGCTCCATTTAAATATTAACGTCAGATTATTTACGAGGTCTGAGGGCAACGTCCCTTCTGTGTAATTCCCCGCTCTCCTTTGCCCCACGTCGTCCAGCGTCGGAGACTTTCTCTCGTCGTGCACCAATATTTAATTTCTCAGAGCTGTACGTAAATTGACCACTCAAGGGGGCGTGTGCTCTGTCAAGCAGAGTGAGGTAAGATTAGCACGGTTGGCTACGTACGGTGAGAAAGAAGTTCTACGTACAGCCTGTTCTCCTGTAACGCGGTAGTTGCGTTCCTGAATATCACCGCATTATGTAAAATTCGCGTGATGATAAATCATGAATAAAATAGGGGAAAGCGCAGGCCGCGATAACGCGTGAGATGCGTACGCAGGCTGAACAAAGACCGAGGCACGTGGGTAGCATCTAGAAGCATCCAGCAGCATCCCGCCGCCTTGCGCGATGCTACGCCGAGGCAGCCGCACGACCGCTTATTCCGAATCGCGCGACGTAGTTCCGTTCACTCGATCGCGTCATGAAAATGCGGCGCTACAGGAGAACAGAGTGTAAATATGCGAGCAATGAGCATGAGTCGTCAAGCGCAGTTCAATCCCCGTTCCCCACACACGCGGTATGATTGCGATATCCGTGTGCAGTCTCGCCCGAGGCCACAATCAGGCCCGAGGCCCCTGCTTGATTTACTTCATCACCTCTCTTGCCGAGACCGCTGCGATTCTGGCAAATCTGCAAGTCTCTACGAGACACGCTGAGTCCTGGTTTTGGTTATGTAGACGCCGCTGAAGAGAATTAATTTACATGAATTTTTTTCATCTTCCAGAATTGTCAGGCAGGTTTTTTTCCTTAAGGATACGTCCCAGATCTTTGTATCTTAGAGGTGGCAACCGTAGCTTGTCGTGGCCTTGGAAACTACTGCAGCCCAGGCTGTCTCCCCTCTCCCATGGTGCCTGCGAATTCGTTTGAGTCGGAACTCCCTGCACCCTCTCTTTGGCTGCTCTCCTTACATAGCTTTTAGACGGATCTATCAATTAACCACGTTGTAAATTGCTCTGTAAATTGCTCTGTAAATGAAAGAACAATGAAGACGTAATGCACGAGAAACGTGGAGACGTGCGTGCTTGGAATGACGCTGAGAGGCAGAAAGGGGAACCCGAGTGAGAGACATCCAATCCACTGCTAACAATAACAGTGAGTGGATTATAAAGGACAGAAGGGATTGATGGCCAGTGCTCAAAAATGAAGATGGCATGGCAACTAAAGGAGCGCCTACGCTTAAGATTGTGTCCATCCGTGCGAATCTCCAATCACTTACTCTCCATGCTTTCTTGTGTATTCTTCAGCTTTTGTTCCAAGCCCTTGTCATGATCTAATTAAAACAAAATTTGATGACAACTGTGGACAGGACCGACCTCGCCTCCTTGCAGGACCGTTTTCGTCAAGAGCTGTTTCCATTTTACTTTATTCCCCTACGGCTGAACTCGTTTATAATGCACAAGCAAGGAGAGTCGATCCTAGACATCATCGATGGAGATGGATTGTGAGCGAGGTGGCTGTAGATGAGACGAGCCGTGTGGTTGGTTCCATTGTCCATGTAATGCTGCTGGAAATTAAAACGCCCCACGTGTGTATTTCCATTGCCTGGTTTTGCTAGTTTCCGTCGGCCCAGAGGGGTGGTATTGTATTCAATTCGAGGATAAGGCCACTCAGGGGATCCTCTGTATAGCAGCAGAGATAACCTCAGTGGCTCAGCTGTCAGCTCAGTGTCTCAATTCAGAAGTCCCCGCTGCGAGATTCTATCGGTCGGACAGACGAAATGGTACCACCGTAGGGGGACGGCTGATGCACTGGACGCGCATTCCAGTGGTCACTGGTTCAGGCTGGCCTCCCGGCGCGGCAGCTGAGAACCACGGTGCAAGTTTCTTCAATGGCCCCCTTCTCTGCCTGCACCATGGTAACACCGCAATTTGCCCATCGGCGGGTCACGTGTGGTGGGCCTCAAGTGTGGGTACTGCCACCTATTTCAAGATGTCTGGCCCACGTGATAACTTAGGCCACCACAGAGGAGCTCCTCTCTAGAGCTCCGTCTAACGAGGGCCTTTCCACCAGCAGTAGCGTGAACAAGCAATTGCAGGGCTGCACTTTTGTCTTTTATGTGTTTGAAAGGCAGGCGGGCGCACGTGCTCCTCCCGTGCTGATCTTCGTCTTGACCACCCCCCACCACCGCTCCCCCAGGCACTCCGCTGTGGTTCTACATGCAGATCGCTCCCATCCGTAACGAGCACGAGAAGGTGGTCCTCTTCCTCTGCACTTTCCGTGACATCACGGCCTTCAAGCAGCCCATAGAAGACGATTCCACAAAAGGTGGGGTTGCTGTACTGACATCGATTCACTGGGCAGTCGGATCTGTGTAAACGTGTCACCAAATTAACGGCGTTAAAATATTTCTAAGAATTATCCGTAGAGTGTTTGAGTATCATCCACTTGCAGGCAATGCAATCGTTGTTTGTTTAATTTTAACACTTATAAGTGTGATGAAGGTATGGAACGTATCCAAGATGACGTATGCTTGAGAGCGATGAAATCGATGAATGCGCAGATGCTGGGTGGATCTTTACGTAGTGAGAGGTGGCCGTGGCTCATCCAGCAGTGGATTTACAATGACTGATGAACATTTATTTTCAACCACTTAAAATATTAATAATTCACAGAGCCCTCTACCATTCCAGCGGTGAATGGAAACCTCACCACACTGTGTCGATCGTGGGTGCGTTTGACCATAATTCACCATAGAAACGTTGATGCGGGACAACCCCTCTTACAACGCAGGTCATTTTATCCTTCCCCCCCCCACACCGAAATAACATACAACCGTTTTAAAATACAATTTGACTGAAATGTCAGCCTAATTTTCTTCCAGGTTTATATCTAATTTCATCTTCACTAAGAACTGCAAATCCAAAGTCTGTGAATGTCACGGACAATGCTGTTCTGACAAAAGCACGTGTCATTCAGATAAGGAACGTGCCACTTACGACATTCATGGCGTGAAATGCGAATTCTGGTCGTTAACGCCTCTTTGTTGTTGTGTTGGAGAATGATCTGCGCGTTTTAGCATGCGGCTTGCTGATTTGCTGTGTATGAGGGATGCGTTTCAGAAACATGTTTTTGGATATCAGATTTTTGTATTTTTTTTAGACAATTAAAGGGGTTTTTTTTGCAAATCTTTCCATTTTCAGGTTTGAACCGATTAGATTTTAATATTTCGCCATTTGCGCGCAAAATGCCACGATTTGAAGAATGTTAAACGTTCATAAAAAAAACCTTTAACAAAAAGTTCCGTCACTAAAAATATAATTATAAGGTTAATATTTTCAACCAGCCCCCCCCCCCTTCATTAAGCAAAAACGCCTCTGTCAAAGCCCAAACGTTGGATTAGTCTTATTAAACTGTTGCTAAAATAATCATCCCAGCAGACAAAAGAGCAAGGCGAAAGCCTAATCCCTTGACAAAGAGATGTGAAAACAATACAAATGAGGCTTTGTGCGGCGAGTCGCTCACATGGGGCGAGGAGCGAAGTCCGGGCGTCTCTCCCCACACAGCCCTGTCCTCCGCCGTCACCTCGCGGCCGCGGCGGATCGCTCGCCGCGGAGTTCCCGCAGGCAGCTGATATATGCGTGTGTGTGTACCGTACGTTGAACTTCTTTCGTACCGTACGTGGCCAACCGCGCTAATCGGAGAGCGGAGACCGCGAAGCGACGTCGGCGAGCTATTTGCCCGCCGGGCGTCGGGATCGGCCTTTGTGACGTCGCCCGAGCGTGGGCGTGGCCGGCCGCCGCGTTGAGAGCGCTCGCGGGTGGCCTCGTGCTCGACGCGCCGCTCCGTGGGCGGCCGACAGAGTCGCCGATGGGCTGAGACGGGACCCGCACGGTGCCCGACTGCAGCGAGATTTATTCCGGACTCGCCGCGGCCGATTTTGGCGCCGTCCCTCCGGTACGCCGTCGTCGCGGCAGCCAAGGCGACGGCGTTCCCGCAGGCCGGTGGCGTCGCCACCTCCGCTGTCGGTGTCGCTCGAGTTGGTCTCGCGGTTGGCGGCATTAGGGGGTGCGTACGTATCGCTCCGTGGGGGTGCGTACGTATCGCGCCAATGGCACGCGGTGCCCGAGGCACACTCTGATGTTGTGCTCGCCACGCCGTGTCAGCTGTCGACTGTGCGTTTGGTGCGTTCTCGTTGTTGTTGCCGTTTAGGCTGGACCAAGTTTGCCCGGCTGACGCGCGCCCTCACCAACAGCCGCAGCGTCCTGCAGCAGCTGACGCCCAATGTGCACAAGGGGGAGAACGTGCACAAGCACTCGCGCCTCGCCGAGGTGAGCCCAGCGCGCCACAGACGAGCAGCATGAGAACAACTCGGCCATCGTCGCCGTCACCATCGACATCACCACCACCATCATCATCACCACCACCACCATCGTCACCACCACCATCGTCACCATCCTCACCACTACCATCATCACCATCATCACCACTACCATTATCATCACCACCATCATCACCATCACCACCACCATCATCACCATCATCACCACCACCATCATCATCACCACCACCATCACCACCACCATCATCACCATCATCACCACTACCATCATCATCACCACCACCATCATCACCATCATCACCACTACCATCATCATCACCACCACCATCACCACCACCATCATCACCATCATCACCACTACCATCATCATCACCACCATCACCACCACCATCATCACCATCATCACCACTACCATCATCATCACCACCATCGTCACCACCACCATCACCACCACCATCATCACCACCACCATCATCATCACCATCATCACCACCACCATCACCACCACCATCACCACCATCATCACCACTACCATCATCATCACCACCACCACCATCATCACCATCATCACCACCATCATCACCACTACCATCATCATCACCATCATCACCACTACCATCATCATCATCATCACCACCATCACCACCACCATCATCACCATCATCACCACTACCATCATCATCACCACCATCGTCACCACCACCATCACCACCACCATCATCACCATCATCACCACCACCATCATCATCACCATCATCACCACCACCATCACCACCACCATCACCACCATCATCACCACTACCATCATCATCACCACCACCATCACCACCACCATCATCACCATCATCACCACTACCATCATCATCACCATCATCACCACTACCATCATCATCACCACCATCACCACCACCATCATCACCATCATCACCACTACTATCATCATCACCACCACCATCATCACCATCATCACCACCACCACCATCATCACCACCATCGTCACCACCACCATCACCACCACCATCATCACCATCATCACCACTATCATCATCATCACCACCATCATCACCACCACCATCACCACCACCATCATCACTATCATAACCACCACCATCATCATCACCATCATCACCACCACCATCACCACCACCATCACCACCATCATCATCACCACCACCATCACCACCACCACCACCATCATCATCACCATCATCATCATCATCACCTTCATCACCACTACCATCATCACCACCACCATCACCACCATCATCACCATCATCACCACTACCATCATCATCACCACCACCATCATCACCACCACCATCATCACCACCACCATCACCACCACCATCATCACCACCATCATCACCATCATCACCACCACCATCATCATCACCATCATCACCACCACCATCACCACCATCATCATCACCACCACCATCACCACCACCACCATCACCATCATCATCACCATCATCATCACCATCATCATCACCACCACCATCATCACCTTCATCACCACTACCATCATCACCACCACCATCACCATCACCACCACCATCATCACCATCATCACCACCACCATCACCACCACCATCATCACCATCATCACCACTACCATCATCACCACCACCATCACCACCATCATCACCATCATCACCACTACCATCATCACCACTACCATCATCATCACCACCATCATCACCACCCTGCAACTCGCAGACGTCTAGGAACGGGAAAGGGTGAAGCTGCTCATCTGCCTCTTGACGACTGCGGGGGCTCTGGCTACGAGTTTTCTAATGCCGGCCGGCATGGGGGCATCGCCGACGCTTAGCCCGTGGCCACGTCCCCGTAAGTGCGCGCGTACACGCACAGCTCCTCTAACCTGGGTCGCCATGAGCGGGAGTAGACGGCGGAATGACCACGGACGTCACCAAACGTTGAACAGAGACGGTAAACGGCACATTCCTGGCAACGTCACGCATGATGATGGTCATGCGTGTTGGCAAAGATTGAGTTTTAATCATTGCACTCTGGCCTTACTTTGAACAATTGGTTTGAATGTGGTAAAAAAAATGATTTCAAACCAGACGCTGGTGGCTCTGCTGCTACACGTGGCTGCCTGTAGTCCAGCACTCCACAACGAAGGTTGGGGGATCTAGGCAACAAATTCGTGAAACTCGCTTCCCGTGGGCATCGCCATCTCAGCATTACAGTGAATTGCAGTCTAGCAAGCAGGTTAATCTCCGTCTGTTTGGGACTGAGTGTTGCCCACCTCACACCGTATGTTTTCTCCGGTAACTCCTGTTTCCTCCCACGTGTATAGAGCACTCGTCAGTGGAGTTGGTCATCCATCCCATTGTAGGACCACAGAGCTTGGGCAATTGCTGGCTCCATTCCTGGCCGCATTGCTGCTAGTCTGTGGTTTAATGTGCTTCTGTACAAAAAGCTGTTACATATTCCACCGCGTTTTGAGATGCAACTTGCACCAATGATGCTACGTAGAATAATTCCTATAAATTACAAGTACGTGCCTCGACATCCCCATTTTCCTCGTTTACTGTGTAGGTGCTTCAGCTGGGCTCGGACATCTTGCCTCAGTACAAGCAAGAGACACCCAAGACACCTCCACACATAATCCTTCACTACTGTGCCTTCAAAACCACTTGGGATTGGATTATCCTCATCCTCACCTTCTACACAGCCATAATGGTCCCCTATAACGTCTCGTTTAAGACCAAGCAAAACAACGTCGCCTGGCTGGTGGTGGACAGCGTGGTCGATGTCATATTCCTGGTGGACATCGTCTTGAACTTTCACACCACGTTCGTCGGGCCAGCCGGGGAGGTAATCTCCGACCCAAAGTTAATCCGCATGAACTACCTGAAGACGTGGTTTGTTATCGACCTGCTCTCCTGCCTGCCGTACGACATCATCAACGCCTTCGAGAACGTCGACGAGGTGGGTGGAGTAGTTCCCGCGTGCGGAGGGAGCGGTCGGGGGGTGGGGGGGGCCTGTAACGCCGTGTCCTCCGCTTCTCTCTACAGCCACGCATTTTACATTGGTTTACTTTTGCCGTGGTTGCGTTTTATAAATAAATAAAACATTGCTCTGCCCACTTATCCACGCCTCCACGTTCAACGACGGGAGGTGCCATCGAGAGCAGGCTACGTTTTGTGTGTGTGTGTGTGTTAAAGAATAAAAAAACCCAGTTAAACTGCTGTAAAACGAAAGGGACAACGCAATTATCTTGCTTTGTAAAGCGCGAAACATCGAGCGTCCCTATCCGACTCGCTCTACAGTTAATTTTCTCTATGCGGTCACGACTCTGCAGCTCCGATTAGCACGATTGTCTACGTACAGTGCGAAAGAAGTTTAACGTACGAGGCCACAAAAGCTGTTGCCCCGTGCCCCGTGCCGTGCACACGTCCAGTGGACGTTCGGGGACGTTACTTATCTTCTTTTATTTCTGCCTTTGCCGCCCCGTGTTGTTGTTGTTGTGGTTTCCTTCTTTATCTGTTTGTTTTCTGCTACCCGTGTTCCCTCCTCACGCTGCATGACTCGCTCCTTGCATGGCTGGACGACGCGATGTCGTGCCCGCGCAGAGCTGGAACGAGCGCGCCATCACGCGAGTACGCGCGGCGCACGCACGCTCCCACGCACGCACGCACGCACGCTCGCACAGCAGTGAACGCACCGCACCACCGCACCACCGCACCACCATGTGCCGTCGTCCTCGGGATGAGGAAACAAACGAGAGGGGATGGCTCCGTCCACCTCGCAGATCCAGCGGGTCCTGTAAGCGATGAGAGACCCTCACCGAAGCGTTGGCACGCGCGTGGGAGAAGCCCCACGTGGGGTTTCCCCCACGTGCTCCGGCCGCCATTTTCCCCCAACGATGCTGTCAAACGTGAATAGCGAGTGCTATCCTGCCGGAATGTATTGCTTTAATTACCACCTGGTCCTTTGTCCGAGTGTGGCCACATGTGGAACATTTCTTCTCTCAAACGCTCACGATGCATCTGGTCGCCACTCTTATTATCATTGTTATTCCGTTACCAGACAACAATTTGATAAGAGTGGAGCCCCGGGCGAGCGATTCATTGCTTCAACTCCTGAAGATGCCCGCAGTAGTGCGTGGCAAAAGCTTGATGGGAGGAGACGCTCATTGCTGGGCCTCCACGTATGTCACCCGTGCCTGCGGAATTACTATAAAAACTTTTTTTTATGTGACCAGGTAAGGCCCACTGAGCTATATAGATATTTTTCAGAAGCAACCTGGCCACAAAATGATAGCCTTCGTGCCGCGTGAGCACTAACTACGTCTACGAAGCCACGTTTCTAGCCTTACATCTTAAAATCGCTGTGATCTGTAAACAGTGTTACGAATTGACGATGAAACTGCTGCCAACGAGCAATTAAAATCATGTTAAATGCTACGTCTATGACTACGTGAGGTGAGCAGCACCGCAGCGTTTTGCGAGAATCAAAATCTTTCCTGGAAACGCCTTGGGCACAAATTGATGGTCTGAACCTTTCGTCTGACGGCGTCGTTCCCTCCGTCTCTACTCCGCAGCGTGGGCAATGCCGTGCTCTACACTGAGATTGCTGTCCACCAACCACGCTTCGTTCCTCATCTCCACAGTTTCATCACATTTCCTTCCGCGAGCGGAGTCAGTTGGTTGATTGTTAAGAGTGAAGATGTATTCCTTGTGGCGTAGCACTTTCTTGCATAAGTATTCACCTATCACCTAATCACACGGGATGCGCCCGGTGGCCAAAGCTAAGCAGAATTCAGCCTGGACAGAGCATGGTTGGGTGATGACCAGGCACAAACAGATTATCTTAGAATTCATTAAGAGCGGCTCACAATGCTTGTTCTGTCGTCCACACACGCTATTGCTTATTCGCAGTGTATCTTACAACGTGAAGTAATAACATTCAGCCCTTTAGCAATCCACTGCTGGATGACGGGCGACACGGGCCGAATCGGTCCCAATGGGGCTTGTGTGGTCACACTTCACCACGATGATGAGTGGCGGATGGTGAAGGGGTGGCCCATGACTGGATCGTAGGTCTCTCTCTCTCTCTCCACGGACGTTGGCTCGATTTGAGTACAGGTTGCCGCCGTGTTCACAACATCGTCCGTGAACCATCGCACTGCCTCTGCCACTGCCTCCGCTGCTGCTGCTTCACCCGTCATGCGAGCTGTTTTGATTTGCCGTATTCGTTTTTAAATGTGAGCGTTTTTCTTTTCAGAATTCACATTCAAGCGAACAGGGTTCTTTGTTTTGGCTGCACATGTCTCCCCATGGCAGTGCAGTCCTTACACTTGTGTGAAAATCTAGGCAATGGCCTATTTTATTTTAGGAGTCTACCCCACACAACAATATTATTATTATTATTGTCAGTGGTTGATGACATTGGGCGATATTTAGTTAAACTACGGATGACAAGGAGCCACCAGGGGTGCCTTACTACTACCGTGTTGCCGGGTATTATCATCAGGGTGCTCGGAGCATCCGGTTGGCCATCGGAGGTGTCAGCTGACGGGAATTACAGAAGCCACAGATCATTTAACTCATATCTATAGATTAGTTACAAGAGGTTTTTTTATATATATCGAAATCTTTCCTGGATCTGCTCTTTCTAAACTATTTTCCGTGGTGGTTGGGTAGCTCAGAGGGGTCAAGCACTATTCTATTTTAAGCACTCAGCTGGCAATTCTGATATCCTGAGGTAAAACCCGGCCAACCACCCGTGATTTAACTGGGTTTCTCGAGTCTATGATGCCCGGCGGTCTCCGCCCAGTCGCCAATGATTACACCAAACACCCACCGTATTAAAACGTGATTATTCACATCGTTTGGATGAACTCCGGCTCTTGAGCATTAGCTCGTTGGTTTGAAAAAAAAACAGTCGATCTACGACAGCGTAACGAAGTAGCAGCTCTTCACGATCAGCCCATCTGCTGTTGTGCTGGGGACGCTACACCTGGTTGTAATTCTGCGTTCAAAGTCCAAGCTGAATGCTCCCAAGCAGTTGCTGCAGGCGGCCAGGACAGATTCCTGTAGCTCACCGCTGACCTTTCACTGATTCGCTGATTTTGAGGCCCTGTCAGCTTCAATGTGAGACTCGTTCTCTCATTGTCTCTGCCGAGCCAACGCAAGCAGCACATCCAGTTTCTATTCAGCCCGTGCATCTTTCTCACGATCATAACGCTTGACACTTCTTTCTCTACTCACTAATCTTGCAACTCACACGTCATGTTGCCAAGGATGCCTCCAAGACAAAGCGTCTGCCTATTCACCGGTGCGCAGGTCTTCTGGGTGGCGCCGCGTATCTCCCCGTTGTCCATTCCGGTCGTGCCGCGCTATTCACGACGTCCGGCGTTCCGTTCCGCACGCTCCGAGCTCCTCCGAATTCAGTTCCTCGCAAAGCTCCCGGCGCTGTCGGGCAGAACGTCGGACACCGTGCCGAGCGACACACGCGGAAACCCGCCCGAACACGCGTCGGGGAAGTTGTCCGGGCCGCCCAGACCCGGGGCCCCTTCGGGTCGAGGTCTCCCTCCCGGCTCCTCGACGCGTGGCCGCGTGTCGCACCGCAGGGCATCAGCAGCTTGTTCAGCTCCCTCAAGGTGGTGCGCCTGCTGCGGCTGGGCCGCGTCGCGCGCAAGCTCGACCACTACATCGAGTACGGCGCCGCCGTGCTCGTGCTGCTCGTGTGCGTGTTCGGCCTCGCCGCGCACTGGCTCGCCTGCATCTGGTACAGCATCGGCGACTACGAGGTGCGTCCACGCCGGGTTGAGCCGCTCTCTGCCGGGACCGCGCCTGCGCGACGCGTCGTCCGTGTTACCGGAGCGAGCCGGGACCACGCGTGCGCGACACCTCGTGTGTCCGTGTTTGCCGAGCGAGCGCGTTCTTGCATGCTTGGCTGTGCTTCGCGAAGTCGTCACCCGTTGACGGAAATAGCGATAACTTACGTGCCGGGCCCGGTGTAGCCAGCCGTGCTAATTGGAGGTGTGGAGAAGCGGCGTTCGTGGCTGGCTCCCCTCCTCCGCTCTCCACGCCGATGGCCCGATGGCTTTACTCAATCGTATGCTTTAGCACTGAGCCTTTTTCCACGACAGCTTGATAGCCTGCGCTGCTTAGCGAGAGACTACGGAATGAGGGAAAACCGGTGGGTTCATCGTCGAGACGTCGTGTTTGGTTTCATAGACGTTGCACGCAAGAATGGAGGTTAAAAAATAATAATGTCAAAAGGTTTAATTGTTGAATTAAAATTTTTTCTCTCACGTTCGGAAAAGTTGCAGGAAATACGACTTGATTACAATGTGGCATTTATGTGTGGAATGTCGCGTGTTTATCTCTCCCACCTCGTGTGAATTCTGTAAAATGTACACGTCTGTGTTTATAACCACGGCCGCTCTCTACTTTCCGAAGCGTTAAAATAACAGACGTATATATTCTTGAATTTAAGTTTTTCTACAGAGGTTCTGAAAATATATTTAATAATGGGCTTGTACATACAATGGGCCTGTACATCGTCGTGGGCAGCTACCTCTAGACAAGGAGGATTCTGGGGGGGAAAAACAGGACAGGTAGAAACCCCGTCCTGGAGTTGATGGATCACAAAAGATTTGTGAAACCTTCCAAACCTTGTAGTTTGCTAGATTGCCAGGAGATTTACGGACAGCTGATGAGTATACGTGAATTCGTGAAAGAGTGCCTTATGCTCTTTGATATCAATATAACCGCAGCTTCAACGCGTACGAATGACGCGCAGGTGTTCTCCATTCAAGGCAGGTGAGGGTGCATCATACGCGGCGTTACATTTCCTTATGGGCCGGTTACAAATCAAGCGCAGGAGGGTAACGGGTCACACTTCGTCTTCATTAGCCAGTCAACGTGAAAGTGCACCTCCCCCTTAACCCTCTACAGTTGGATCCACTGCCTTGAGCTGTCCCCACTGCACGGGAGGCGCGGCGCAAATTACAAACAGCGACGCTCCGCCGTCTTCTCCGATAGCAACACAGCCGCCATTCGCCACCGAGTGACAAACGTCACCACGGCGCCCGTGCCAGGCCAGGTGCACTTTGAGGGAGGTCACGGGACAGACCCAGCAGGTGCCATGGGCTGGCTGACTGAGATGACCGGCTGATGCGCCAGTTGTGCCCCCTACAGTGCTGACTTGCCGCGTTTTAGCCGCTGTGTTCCCCTAAACCCCCCCCCCCCCACCCTAATCAACGGCGGCGATGCGCGCGCAGGTGATCGACGAGGCGACGAACCTCATCCGCAAACACTCGTGGCTCTACCAGCTGGGCGAGACGATCGGCACACCGTACCACTTCAACGGCACCCAGTGGGAGGGCGGCCCCAGCAAGGACGCTGTCTACATCTCCTCGCTCTACTTCACCATGACGAGCCTCACCAGCATCGGCTTCGGCAACATCGCGCCCACCACCGACGGGGAGAAGATCTTCGCCGTCGCCATGATGATGATCGGATGTGAGTTGGAGCTGCCGTCCTCGTCTTCACCACCCCCCCCCCCCGCACACAACGACCGATCGTCACCGTCCACTGCGCTGACCCAGCACTGTAGCGTGACCTTTGTTTAAAGACGGAGGTGGGGGCATACAGTAACCCGGGGGTTGGGGGGGGGGGGGTGCGCGACCCGGTCAATGTTAAATCTTAAACAAAAGAGAAAGGCGAAGGGTTTAGAACGGGAGGGCCGAGCCGTGAGCGGTGCTTCAGGGGGCCACCGCATCACGCATCGCGCGTGGCGGCCAGCACGTGCGTCGTCAGCATCTGCAGCTCGAGCGCAACTCATCAGCGGCTGGGTGTGGGTGCCACGGCCTGACCGGTGCTGCGGGGTCAGCAGTGTCGCCATGCGTGAGCCGTTGCTTTACAGCCCTGCTTATCCCTGCTCAAAACCCACAAAGGAGGCGGATAGCAGCTGTTCTCTACGAATTAGATCTCAAAACCCGGTATCTGTGTGTGCCCAGGCCCTTCGTGTTTGCTCAAAGTCATCGCCTATCTCTGCGAATACAGCGGGGAGCTAGAGCTTATACCGCTATATATCTGGACCGTGCGATGCAGCACAACAGTAATGACATGCACTATTTTATATTGCCTTTGAGACGCCGTATTTTTACACCTTGGATGTAATTGGTTTTTCGAAAAGCAGGTTTATTTACAGGGGCGGAATCAAAATGGAAACGGCGTGCGGTATTCTGACGGTAAACTATCTTTGCGTTTTATCAACCTAATTACAGGGATATATATATATAATGTGTGTGCGCATTTGCATTCAATTTGGCGCCTACACGGCGCGGTGTCCTAATCGCCTCACGAGCATTCAAATCGCGAAAATAACTTCTCGTCAGGAGGAAACGTCTGACAGGATAGAGGGGGTGTGGGTGGGGGAAGAGAGAGCATGGAGACATTAGAGAGCTGCGAGTCAGGAGTCAAAGCGAGGCCAGGGACAGACGCTCGTGCGCCGCCTCACGAGCGTCTGTCCCTGGCCTCGCTTTGACGGCTGGGGGAGATGTCAAGGGGAGAGCGGACGAACCCCACGACCTCCCGGTTCTCATGCCGAGTGTGATCGCCGTCTACGCCGCGGTGCCACCGTCGCTATTCCTACGCCGCCGTTCCGCCCGGGGTTGTTTTTCTTTTCGCTTGGAAAATCGATGCCATTTAAGGTGGTTGGCGGGCGGAAGTTCACTCGGTATAAATTATAAATGAAATGAAGCGGGCTGCCCTTGCGATGGGCTTACAGCGTATTCGATAAACCAAGAATGAGCATCTGGCCGAGGCCAATGGTTGGCGCACCATCAAGTGGCAGAGACTCGGAGAGCCGTGGCACACGCACGCGTCAGAGCCGGCGTGCGCCACGAGTTTGCTGCTCCGCTGCCCAGAGCACGATGCAAAGCCACATAAGCAGATTAATGTCTTTTTTTAAATCTCGTAAACATGACGAGTAGAAAAATAACTAAAATTAATTTTAAAAAACATTTCCATCGTGCAAACGCGTTTATGAAATTAACGAGGTTCAGGGAACAAGTTTCATTTTCGTGCTGCAAATACACACACACACGTGAACTACACATGAGCTACACACGTGAACCACACATGAACTACACACGTGAAATAAGTGTGTTGTACTTCCCCGGACGTACGGTGTGAAAGAAGTTCAATGTACGTACACACGTATCTGAACTACACGCGAACTACACACGTGAAACACACACACAATCGAGCAGAAAGGACCTTAGCAGCGTCTTCTCTCCCCAATTTTGCCGGGACGTCATCCGGGGTCACGGACGCGCGGGAGAGGAGCGGGCGAGTTGGCGTGGAGCAAACACGCCGGCGTCCTCGTTAGGGTCGCGTTCGTGTCACCGAATGTTTATATCCGTTACTGCCCTCCCATATCGCGCAGTGTATACAGCACGTCTCATTAAATACGGATCCGGTAGGGCTGACCGCGCTGGGCTTTCGCCTGATGTGTTTACTCCTCTCGGCGGACGGAACGTTCCGTGATCATTTTAAAACTTTGTCATTAAATGCAAATGAGATGCGTACACAAGTTGAACCTGCCGGAACGTGCGCTCTTGCTCGCTGTGGATTGACTATTTTGAAAGCCCCTATATAGGGTGAAGGTTTCACCCTCTGCAGGGTGAAGGTCGCACCCCTATGTTAGGGGTGAAGGTTTCACCCGTAGGCTCTACGAGTGGCACGACTGCTGTGTCTGTTTTCGCGGTTGTGCTGTGCGGCTCCGAGATCCGGTTTCCAGTTGTGCTGACATTTCAGTCCATTACCTGAAGAAGCTCTCAGCACGTGAAGCGAAACGTCAGACCTCGTGCCTAACAACACGAGGCATACATAACCCAAACGTGCATCGGACAGATACACGTGACATCGTTATTACTACTCTTTCTTGTAAGAAGAAAGCAATTGTGTTAACGTTGCGAAATGCCTCGTTTCATCCGAACAGCGCTCCTGTACGCGACCATCTTTGGCAACGTGACCACGATCTTCCAGCAGATGTACGCCAACACCAATCGCTATCACGAGATGCTCAACAGCGTCAGGGACTTCTTGAAGCTCTACCAGGTGCCCAAGGGGCTGAGCGAGCGCGTCATGGACTACATTGTGTCCACCTGGTCTATGTCCAAGGGCATTGACACTGAGAAGGTATGTCACCACGACGTGTGTGCCCAATGGTGAGAGCGGGTTCTATCAATAATTCACCAGCAGTAATTACTTTTAGGGCCCCCATCTACCAGTGTCTTCAAATTCACAGTACGGTTAATTAAAATAGTGTCGTGTTTGTTCGTCTAGCTCCGTGCGTGACTACAGGCCTCCCACAGCGGTTGTAGGTGTTGTCCATTATTGAGCGGGGCATAGCTAGACACGCTGGCGCCTGGCCCAAGGTGGCATCCACGCGCGGCCACCCGCTGCTACTGCTGCTGCTGCCCACGCCACTGTGGGCGGCGTGGCCAGCAGCAGCCACCAACTCCTCTGAGCCGCCACCGCCGGCTTCGTTTCTACCGCGTCAGCTCCACCGTGGCGCAACGCTGGACCACGATGATGTCACAGGGCTGCTCATGAAGCCACTTCAGCGGACCCCTTTATCCACGTGTTACGCGCATTTTCTATGCTCTGTAAAGGCCATATAATTTTTCCTCGTGTCAACCCGAATTCAGGATGCTGCCGTGTTTTGTTAGTGCGGTCATCGGCGACTAAGCCGAGACCATCGCCTCGCTGCGCCACCTTGGGAAGCTGACCGCAGGCGGCGCTCGGACTTGCCCACTCGCCCCCTGGACCAACACCTCCACAATCGCCATTTGTGGGGATGTTATGTTCAAACAATCTTGTTGGATACATAAACAAATTGAACTAGATTTGTTCACAGCATTGGCAGTTGTGTCAAAGTAAAAATACCAAAAGAACTTGCCGTGTTCATGAATAACATTTCCTTACCATCATCATCAGCCATGGTCAATCCACTGCTAGATGAAGGCCTCCCCAAGCCGCCGCTACCTCTCACAATCCTGCAATGTTATAGTCCACCCGGCACCTGCGCGTGAACCGATTTCATCGCTCCGCCTCCGCAGTGAACGTTCTCTCAGACGCATTCCGTTCCTCGGCTGCGACTCCATTATACCTGACCATCGGCAATCGTCCCTTCGAGTGATGCATCCTTCCCAAGAGTGTGAGTGCCACGGTGGCCAGATGTTAACTACCTCACCTGGTATACAGGTGATCGTGGGTTCTATCCCCACCCTTGACACCTGTATATTTGGAGTTTGCGTGTCTATCTCCCCGTGGTTGCGTGGATTTTTCTCCGGGTCCTCTGGTTTTTCCCTTCACATTTAGAAACATTAATTTAGAGTTTTTGGGTGCGGTAAATTGCCACGTGAGAAGCCACTTCGTTGAGCTATCATTTGTGGCCAGGTCGCTTCTGAAAACGAGCTATGTAGCTCAGTGGGGCTTACCTGGTAAAATAAAAACAATTTTAGTTTAGTGTTCTCTGACCAATGTGCTCCTCTGTCGTTAAGTGTAATTCTAAGCATGCATCTCTGTGCATTTTTCAGTTATTGTTTCATTTTTTTGTGTAAATGGCCACCTTAACATTTCCGTATGACAGGAAATCCACACGTAAATTGCATTCTCTCATAGTGGCCCTTCTTTTAAGAACTCCCACTGGCATTGTGCGCTGATTTGTGGGTTGTGTTTCGAACGCCGTGTGTGTGCTCATTGTAAGTGTCTGTGATTGGATGGAATCCGTCACTTGTAGAGGATTGCTGAACAAAACGAATTCACTGCTTCCTAAATATATTTATTGGACAAAGTATGATACGTTTTTAGAAAGGATGTATATAAATTCAATAATCAAATCTTTTTGAATAAACATCGGAAACCTTAAAATGTTTATTAGGCATTGAAAGTTGAGAGAGATAGCACCTCTGATTAGCACGGTTGGCTACGTACAGTGCGGAAAAAGTTCAATATGCATACATACATGAATGCGTGGAGATAATTTACGTGACCACATCTGCATTCCTTCACCGCGGCCCTGCAGCCAATGCCCGACCATTCAACAACCCAGACACAACGGTCAAAGCAACTTCAGCCTCCCGAGCCTTAACCCTTCCAATCCATTGCAGGTGCTGCACATCTGCCCGAAGGACATGCGGGCGGACATCTGCGTGCACCTCAACCGCAAGGTGTTCAACGAGCACCCCGCGTTCCGCCTGGCCAGCGACGGGTGCCTGCGCGCGCTCGCGGTCGAGTTCCAGACGCACCACTGCGCCCCGGGGGACCTCATCTACCACGCGGGCGAGAGCGTCGACACGCTCTGCTTCGTCGTTTCGGGCTCCCTCGAGGTCATACAGGACGACGAGGTCGTGGCCATCTTGGGTAAGGGCGCCGACCGGGTCACCTCTCGCCGCCGCGGCCGCGAGCGCAGCGCGCGGCCCCGGTACGGCCGCGGCCTCGCGACCGTCGCCGCTCGCTCGCTCGCTCGCAAGGCGGCTTCCCAGCGGCCTTCCTCCATGCAGCGCGAGGGCCGCGCGCCGCTTAAAAGCTGGCGCGCGACGGCCGCCCGCTGCGGGGAAGGGAGCCGGCGGCACGCCAGGCGCCCCCTGACTCCTCTCTCTCCGGCTCTTGCGAGCCAGAGCTCTGCGCTCGCTGTTGTGCCATCCGAATCACTCTTCTGAGCCAGGTGGAGACACACGGACGCGATAGCCAAGCCTGCTCTCAGGCAGCCATCGTCGATGCGACGCGACAGCCAACAACAACTGTTTGTCCCTCCCCCGCACCTCCGATTAGCACGGTTGGCTACGTACGGTGCGAAAGAAGTTCCACGTACATAAGTACACGTACAGACGTACACATACATACACATACGTACGTACACGGCACTGCAGGGCCTCCACTCGACGGAGCCCCAGGGAGCCCATCAACAGCATATTTTGACCTACTTTTCCACACTTTACCCCAAAGTGTTATTGCACCAGACACCGTGTGACTGTGGAGTCTACAGGCTGTTCTCGCTCGGTCCCTCCGCATGCACCGATCACACCGTGTGGCAATGACTGCGATGGAGGACTGTTATTTGCTTTTAGGTCCATAGCACCGATTATATTTTTCAGTAAAAAAAAATCACTGTACTTTAATAGAAACTAAATTTGTAATTTCACACCAGAGTAGAAAATAGCACTGCAATGATCCAGGGATCATTCATTCTTATTATATATATTTTTTAATGGCAATGTCTAATGGGAAATTGTTGCCTTTTTATATTTAGAATTCAAATGAAGATTAAATAGTTTCGACTCATTTACTTTTGTAATCAATAATATTATCAATTTAGTTTTTGTATTGGTGCCATTTTATTAGAAATGCGCATTATATTGAGGACTTACGTTGCATGTTATCCTGTGGCGGGTGTTGACGTGTGTGTGTGTGCAGGGACCACAGGCTGCTGCCAGAGTGCAGTGTTGAGGTGGCCAGTGGCTCAAATGTTTGGTGGGGCAGTGCTGGGGTGGGGGCTGGGGGGGGGGGGGGGCGAGGGGGGTGGGGGGCACGGGCGGGGGGGGGGGCCTTAAAATGGAAGCGGAATTATTTAATTATTCGCAACCTTTGCCGAATATTTGGCACCGCTGCTGGTGGTGGCAAGGCCACATAAAGGGATGGGTTTTCAAAGCTGACTGAAATATATCTACCGACTCTGATTGCCTGATTTTAGGTGGCAAGACGTTCCATAGCTTGGGTGCCACGCTAACGAAAGCACGATCTCCAAAAGAGCGCAGCCTAGACCTGGGAGTGCTGATCAGTTGGAGATCCGAAGACCCATGGTGGCATTATATAAGCGGCGTAGATGTGGACCATTGTAAATCGGAGAGTGCCTATATTTGTGTTTTTGTTTGGGGAACGGTTCAGGAAAGGGTGACGTGTTTGGAGACGTCTTCTGGAAAGAGCGGGTGATCGCTCCGTCTTGCGCCAACGTACGTGCGCTCACCTACTGCGACCTGCACGTCATCCGGCGCGACGCGCTCGTGAAGGTCCTCGACTTCTACATGGCCTTCGCAAACTCCTTCTCCAGGAACCTCATCCTCACCTACAACCTCCGCAAGAGGGTGAGCGAGCATGCGTGTGTGTGTATGTGTGTGCGTGTGTGTGTGTATGTGCGTGTGTGTGTGCGTGCACGACCTACATCGCGCTCACACTGAACAGCGCGTGTGCGGCTGCACCTATATCGCTACAGGATAAATATTCCATTCATCCGCTGATCAAATGAAAATATCTATCGCACAAATTCTCCATTATTCATACTTAGAATAGCAGAACAATGACACTGCCAAGAACCAAGGGAAACACGAGTGTGCATTCCTCCGTCTTCAAACGCGGACACCTATATTCCACAAATAATTTGAATGCACGATACACAGCAAGGGTTAAGTGTCGAGAGTTCGGCTAAAACATGTCAATGCCTTCTCAAATATCCACTGAGTGGGCCCGAGATACGGTCGGCCAGGTTTACGATAAATTAATTAACGTGAAGCGACACCTTGACATGACACCTGCTACTCAGGGCTCCAATATCCTCGCACTGTTAGCACTGTTCAGCGAGTGCGGAGTGTGCTATGACTTACTTTGCAAGCTTGACATTGAGCCATTACAACTAAATTTGAATGTAAATAGCATTTGTATCCAACTCCATCTCAAGATGCTTGAGATAATAATAATAATAGTAAAGCTATTGCCAATTCCAAAAAGAGCTTAGGATCCCTGAAGTACAATATTCATCGGAAGTTACATTTGTAGCTGCTGTGTCCCCGTATTAACACGCTCATTCCTCCACCCGGAGCCACTTTGACCTCTAACACTTACAAGGCTGTCGCCAGGTCCACCAAGCCACTACGCATGTCACCTTCAATCTCCTTCAAATGGCTTCCTCACTCCACTGACCCTTGCTTCTCTATCATCTAACACCTATCGCTCCTCTAACCTCTATCTGGGGACCACGCATCACCGGCGTTGCCAAGGGAACCGGCAAAGAGACTTTGGCTTCCATTTTAACAAAAAGCCTCAGCACTCTGCAGGTCAGGGGTCTGTACAGTTTAATGTTTGGTTTGTTGACCTTCCACAGCACCTCCGATTAGCACGGTTGGCTACGTACAGTGGTGCGAAAGAAGTTCAACAGACATACAGATGCTACATCAGGATAGTGGGTGAACGATAATACTGAGGGCCTGGTGTACATCTTGAGAATTACACCTGAAACGCACACCAAGGCTATTTGCCGCATCATTGGTTCAAGAGGCAGCACTTTTTTAAATAAAAAAAAACATTTAAGATTATTATTCTTTTTGATCCAGGAAAGTCTCATTGAATCTCAGTATGTAGCGACGTTGCTGCTGCTGCTGTGTATAATCCCAATTGAGTAATTGTCAGGTTATTTTTCAGCATCGCGATGTGCGGCCAATAGCAGTGACAATGTGTGTTGTATAGCTATGGGAGGAACCGGTGAACCCGGAATTTAAAATCCCTGCAGAACAGGGGGAGGACACACAAACTCCACACGCTCACTCAAACTCTGCAGAACAGGGGAGGACACACAAACTCCACACGCTCACTCAAACTCTGCAGAACAGGGGGAGGACACACAAACTCCACACGCTCACTCAAACTCTGCAGAACAAGGGGAGGACACACAAACTCCACACGCTCACTCAAACTCTGCAGAACAGGGCGAGGACACACAAACTCCACACGCTCACTCAAACTCTGCAGAACAAGGGGAGGACACACAAACTCCACACGCTCACTCAAACTCTGCAGAACAGGGGGAGGACACACAAACTCCACACGCTCACTCAAACTCTGCAGAACAATTTGATTGTTCTTTTCATTCGAGACATACGATGGATACCAAAAATATGTTTTAAGAACAGCGTCTTTGACTTTTGACCATGAATTCTAGAAAATTATTCCAAATTAAGTATTCACCTTGCGATGTGGGTATTTCCTATTTTCAGATTCCAATTGCAGGCAAAATTTTTGTGGAAGTTCCTTTTTTTTTTAGTAATAACTGTCAGCGGTTAAGTGCAGATTTTTTTTCCTCATCAATTATTCAGCTTCACATACCGAGGCTAAAATAAACCCCCCTTGAAATCGGATGGCGTGGCCTTGCGTACCGACCGCGCCCTCGCTCGAGCACACGTCGATTGAACGCGCGTCTCGTCCCCCGCAGCTGATCTTCCGCAAGATAAGCGACGTGAAGCGCGAAGAGGAGGAGCTTCAGAAGCTGAAGAACGAAGCGCCGCTCGACATCCCGCCGGACCACCCGGTGCGCAAGCTCTTCCAGCGCTTCCGCCAGCAGAAGGAGGCGCGCCTGCAGGCGGAGCGGCAGCGCCAGCTGCAGCAGCAGCAGGACCTGGAGACGGGAGGCTCGTTCTACGACAAGCTCGGCGCCGACACCGCGGGCCCCGCGCCGCCCGGCGTCTCCGCGGCCGGCGAGGGACACCTGTCCGTGGTCACCCTGCTGCGGCCCAAAGTCCAGAACGCAGACGCCGCTCAGGTGCAGGTGGCCGACGCGCGGAGCGCCGTCTCGTCCGCGCCCAAGAGGGCCAGCATCGGAGGCGGCGGCGGCAAGGGCTGGGCCAAGATCAAGGGCCCCGCCGACTACCTGCAGGTGGAGGGTGCCAAGAGGGGCGAGTGGGCGGGCGAGCAGGTGGCCAAGGCCGAGTCGATGGAGACCCTGCCCCAGCGGACGCGCGCGCAGATGCACGTGCAGGACATCCACCCGCCGCTACGCAAGACCGACTCGTGTGACAGCGGCATCACCAAGAGCGACCTGCGGCTCGACCGAGCGGGGGATGCCAACGCCGCGGGCAGCCCGGTGATCGGCGCCTGCGTCGGCGTCGGCGGCGCCAGCGGCCCCAGCACGACGCGGCCCAGCCCTACGGAGCCGAGCCCCGCGGCGGCGTCCGGCATGGCCACGCTGGTGGCGGCCACCACGACGGTGGCGCTGATGACCCCCCCCGCGGACGGCAAGCAGCCGTTCTCGCCGATCCCCGAGCAGAGCGTCTACGCGGCCGTCGTGGAGGTGAAACTGGAGCTCAAGGAGGACATCGAGGCCCTGGGAGAGCGCGTCACGGGCCTCGAGAGGCAGCTCGCCGAGATCCTGGGCCTCCTGCGCAGGGACGCGAGGCCGCCTTCCACGGCGCCGCGCTCGCCCGCCCTCTCCCCGCAGGATGTCTACGACATGTCGAGGCCCATAACGCCGTCGTCCGACAAGGAAAACTTTCAATTCTAAAACTAGCTTTAAACGAGAAGGTTTTGCATAACAGCAGACGTTTCTTGCTTCGGTAGAAAGTAAAAAAAAAAAAAGGATTTTTGAAACACGGTAGTGACGTAACGACATTTGTCTTGGATTTCTTAAAATGCTGTGAACGTTAATCACACTCTATTTTATATAAAGTGAGGTGGTCAAGAATTCCCTGTGGTGACTGCTGCGAGATGCGTGAATGCGAAACAAGGTACTGTGCATACGGCAAGAGTTGAGAAGATATCATGACCGAGTTTACAGTGCTGCGTGTGTGTGTGTGAAGCAGCTGTGAATAGGAAATTAATATTTCCAGATTCTGCTCAAAAGTCAAATTGCTTTTACTTGGAATGCATTTAGAGCCTTACACTTCCTTACGTTTTGACTGGTTTTGCCTGCATGCATCGTTCTGAAAAACAATAAGGAGACTAGTAGCGCCGCTATAAAATCACGAATACAACAATAATGCATGAGTGTTATTACTTGAGGTTGCTACGACGTCACACCCGTGAGCAGTGGAGTGAATATTCAGAGTGAAAGTCACTGGTGTTTTGAGAACAGTACTTCACAAATGCAATTACAATTGTAACATATTTTTGGGAGTTGTTTTGTATTCAGGTATGTTTTTTACGTATTTAAGTCACGAAATTACATTTTCGAAAAGTGAAGAAACGTTTGATGCTTTTTATCAGGTTTTTACGTCGCTGGTCGTTGACGCCGCTGGTCGTTAACGCCAGCACTGAAGGGTTGGCACAGAGTGGGCAGCTGTTGGAAGTGCAAGGCTCCATAGATTCCTTTTAAATTGATTTCTTAACACAAGACTTAAGTGCTGATATAGCAAAAAATGACTTGGGCGTCTACTGCCAAGACGAGAGGTAGTATTTGTATGATTGTTATTGTTGTCGTTGTTATTTTAAAATGCGTCATTAACGTGACACTAAACACTGGAGGGACATGTGGGCGCGTGTTTGGAGATGCGTTGTACTTGAAGCAGGCATGCAGCACAGCACTATCATTGAATATAACGTGCTGACATGCCAAGCAATCGTGAGCCCCTTGCGTGAGACGTCAAGTGTCTATTAAAGTATTACATTGCTCCTACAGGCTGCTGTCCTCATCACTTGCTGCGTGAACCTGTGGGGGTGGGTAGTACTCGGATGAACCAGCCCTCATGATCCAGCACCCGTCTGCCTCTCCATGTTTTCCAATATTTTATTTTGACATACACATTTAAACAGCTCTACACGCTGCACGTGCCTGATACTTGCTAAACAACAGCACCGCGTCAAGCAGAGAGCGCCCGATTGAAATTCAGATCGTGTTCGTGTCTGTGTGTGGGTCATGTAGCCCGCATGCCCAGCCACCGCATGCCCTAACAGCTTTTGTTCGGCCGGATCGAGGGGGCTAAACGGGCGCGGCACGGGCTAGAGAAGAGATGGAGTGATGTGGTACAGGAGGACGTGGAGCTGAGTGGACTTGCCGATGACCGGTACCAGCGGTGTCAAGATCGGCCTCTGTGGAGGAGGCTCGTGAAGGACGCTATTGGGCAGTTGGAGGCAGTCGCCCTCCAACAACAACGGAGGGCGGAGGAGCGACGCTCACAACAACGAGCGGAGCGCCGGGTGGCTAAAGCACAGCAGGTTGGCACAGTAGGGGGCACAGGTGGTGCATCAGCCAGTCATCTTCGGTCAGTCGACCCGTGGCACTTGGGTCTGCCCCATGACCTCCTGCCAGCGGGCTTTCGACACGTCACGTGGCCTCGAGGTGCACATGGCCTGGCACAAGCATCGTGGTGACGTCACCGCCACTTAGTGGCGAATGGCGGTTGTTGTGTACGTGTTTGTGGGGAGCGGTAGTCTAGCGTTTTACCCTATACCCGAGTTCGATTCCCGCTCACGGCCAACACGAGTATCGATTATCTGAACCGATCATGGGCCACCCCTAGGTCGACTCAGCCTCAAATGAGGACCTGGTGTGGTGTGTAAACAACACTACTGGGGAGACAAAGGCGAGGCGGTCGGGCGTGATGCTGGCCACCCGTCCACTCGTGTGCAGTGCTGGCCTTCATAGGTGCTCGTTAATGGCACTTGCCCTAACAGGTCGATACGAGGGATATTTTTTATTTTTGTTATATTACTATTAATATACAGTATGTAGTCTTGTTTCAAACACAATGGGAGTTGCCACTCTGGCAATGCCCTTTAAACACTGGCGAGCCAGCTGCGAACAATCTCAGTTGCTAGCTGCGCACACTGGTTTACTGGCACAAGTAATATTAATTCATATGTATCTGTGTAACACCTACTTTGTATGCTCATTTGAGATATTTACGGAAGAAGGCGTCATCAACCATTGTATAACATCATCGACATATAATTTTCAACAAACTACAGTATTTTGAGCAATTACTAAATTGCCACTTTGGTACGACTCCCTAAATAGTGTATTTTAATAGCCTTTCTTAATCCATTGCCGTGACTGCACTGTTCTGTTGGAGTAAGAGCTTTCTTTCCTCCTGATCCCAGCTTAATCTGATTGTCCCTTCATGGATCTCTCAGTTCACATGAGATTTAGCGAAGGCCTTCAATAATCCAGCTAATTCCTTTTTAATCTCACCGTGTATCTGAAGGTGTCGTTCAGAGCTTGTTAGAGATGTCATATGCCCTAATACTGCATTACGAGAATAGGAGAGAATTACATCGTCGGGCCTTCCATAATACATATTTTTACACAATCTAACCCAAAAACAACCTGTTATGGATGATGTAGGGTCTACAGTTCACAATCATAGCTAAAGCGAAACATTTTAAATGTGATAACCCCACTCGCTGTGTAAAATGTTGAGCGCCCAACGATCATAGGAGCCGGTCCTTGCTACATTTACTTAACGTAGTAAACATCACTAAAACATCCGGTGAAATCTAGTCAATCGTGTATAGCCTATGTATGCACTGCAATGTAACGTCTTCCACCATCTTCTATCCACTGCTGGATGAAGGCCTCCCCAAGTTACGGTCTGGTCACGCAACGACCCGTGTCCCACGCGAGCCAGCCTCATCCGCTCCGTCTCCGCCGTGGTCGTCCTCTCGATCGCTTTGTCATTCCCGACCATCGATCACTAACCCCTTTCGAGCGATGACCCCTGCCTATCCCACTCAACCGGCGTGATGGTGTCTCTCTACTCTGCACTTTGTTTTCTGATCCACACATTCTTCTCCTCAGTCTCGCTGTCATTCGAAGCCTGCCGTTCGCCCCGTTTCCTTGTGCACTTTTCAAACTTTGTTCCGTTGTCAGCTTCGCTCCCAAGCGTCGCAGTTTCTGATCCATGCGTCGAAAGCGTGCAACAACCACGGATGCCAAGCTTCCCTTTCGCTATCGAGCGCAGATTTACGAAGCGCTCCAACCTCCTCTCGCTCCTCGCTCCGTCCGATGTTTATCTGCTCTTGCTTTTTCGGCTGGCATCCGGGCAGAGCGACATTCAAGGAAATGGTTATTCACTTCTCTCATTTCACCATATTAACATGTTACATCAACCATAGCTCATCGTGAAATGTGAACAAAAAATTGCATTCAACTTCAGCTCAGATGTTGATATAATTAGTGAAATTGTCCTATTAAAGTACAGCTTAATATCTATCTCAGGTGGCGAACTACACACATTGCCTGCAGGGATATGTAGTGATTCAAGTCCAGGTAGTGAGGTTGTGTAATCCGCAGGGGACATGAGGTGAGTAAGTAGGGCACAGTCGGGAAGCGGAGGCGATGTTGCATACATCACTGGCTGCTGGCCGACTCTTCCCAGGAGTCAGATTTGACGACTGGACAATGTTAAGCGGAGCTGACTAAGTCATCTGGAGCCGCTCCACGTCCCTGGTAATCTATTTAATTTCAGTCCAGTGCCTCCAATCACCGCGGAAAACACAACCCACCTACAGGGGGCGTCCATAAATGACGTCACGCACCTAGGGAGGGGGGTCAGACATTTGTGACGATGTGTGACGAGGGGGGGAGTTAATGGAAGGGTTTATAACATGGAGTATAACAGCGCATTGTGGCTGTTTCTCTCTCCCCCCTCCTCCGTTCCGAGCATGGATTGACTCGTCCGTCTGAACGTCGCTGTCCGTGGTGCTGGCGTTGAGGGGAATGAAAAGCCGCCATTTTTCGCCATATGGCATTGTGATATATAACGACTTATTGTTCGTGGCTCAGCTGATTGGAGAGTATATAGAGTTTATTGATAACATTTTAGTTTTTTATTGGTTTACTATATGGTATTCATTATATAGTGTAATGTATACCCAGTTGCTTTGTGATTAATAGCTCAGCTTATTGAAGAATATATTTAGTACATTTATTATATTGATGTAATATAGACTTAGTTTTTTTTCACATCGGTTTACTGTATGATAGTTGGGTAGTTGGAGGCCTTTAACGTCCATATACTAAATGCCTCTGTTGATATGTAAACTTTGACTTTAACATAGCTATTTCTGTCACAAGCTAATCCCTCAGCTATTTCAATGCTAAATTCTCCTGCGTTGATATGTAAACTCCTTTGTCAAGGCGCTCCACGCCTCTCACCGAGCTTAAAAGACGCTACGAATCTTAGCAGCGCTCATTGAAGCACTGTCGTCCCAACAGTTCTGTTCTTTCACCTAAAGAAGGCTACTTGTGTTGTGGCCGAAACGTGGTGAGAATTTTATTGTCTTATTTTATTGTATTATTTTATTGTATTATTTTATTCCCATTGTACGTTACTTTACCGAAAGAACCAAAGAAGTGGGGGGGGGGGGGGGTGTTTGATAAATGTGACGTCACATCAAAATGCGCAACTTTAAATAAATAAAGACAACACGTTCAACTTAATTAAATAGACTTTTTAAATAAATGTTTTCTCCTACAACATCAGAGTGCAGCGCCACATTAAATGCGCACTACAATGACTATAGTTTAAAGCGATTTCAAGTATGTTTCATTGTCAAAATGGAAATATGGTTGGGGGGGGGGGCTGAGCTTTGTGACGTCATATTTGAGGGGGGGTCTGACTTTTTGTGACGCCGTGTGACGAGGGGGGGGGGGGGTAAAAAATCGTCCATAATCACGTGACGTCATTTATGGACGGCCCCACAATATGCCCAAAGGTCATTTCCAAATAGAGGCCTATGTCCCAATTGGGGCATAGATACCACCACCACCGCCCCTAATGAGTGCATTGTTTGCAGTAATACAGCTCAGCCAGTTACCTCGTTAATGATAAGCCTATGGCCCCGTAGGCCTGATGATCTAACTCTCAACCATCGTCCTGGGGACCTGATCGGATGGCTGTTTGGTTTGTTTAATTGAGCAGGTGATCTCAACAGTGGAAGCACCTTCATCCATTTGGCAGGAGAACACATTCACAGGTAAGTGGAGTTGTCATCCTATGTGCTAAATGTACTCTTATCCACAAAACATCTATTAAACAAAACATGAACAACATTTATTCCTTCGGTGTATGATATAGGAGCCGTCCATAAATGACGTCACGCACCTAGGGGGGGGGGGGGGGGTTCAGACATTTGTGACGATGTGTGACGCGGCGGGGGGGGGCGGTGAGAAATGTGACGTCACATAAAAATGTGCAACTTTAAATAAATATGGAGAACACGTTCTACATCATTAAATAGACTTTTTAATCAATGTTTTCTCCTATAATACCAGAGTGCAAAAATCGCGTGACGTCATTTGTGGACGGCCCCATACGTGCAGTACAAAAAGGTCCGGACGTTGCAAGCGAAGAAGGCTATCTCTCACTATGATGGAAGGTGGGAGAACTGCGTGCGAACGCGCGCGTTGTACTTGAGCTGGCTTAACGGGACGTCGAATGCTACCTCGACGAGAGGACGTCCTCGGAAAGCCGGGAGAGGTGGGCCAACCTGAGTTGGCAGTGGCAATTGTGACGATCATGAAGCAGCGTCAACGCGTGGGCCGAGCGTGCCCTCTCAAGGCCGTCTCGCACTGCCCCCTAGTGCACGGAAGGGCCATGAAGCGCGCACGAGGAATGATTATTATTCCGGCCTGCTCGGCTCCGAGCACCGCTTCCATCACCAGGCTCTGCGGCG